GTCGAAATATCCCGTGCACTGTTCCGAAATTTCATACCAGTGCTAGATGATGGCGCCTTTCAGATGAAAGCTCTACAATCGAACCATCTTTATTTCATTCATAACTACTTAGAAACTGCATGAAAATATTCAAGGTGCGGTTTCTAGCTTTGGCATGACAAAAGCAAGGTCGAGTTTGTTTCTAATGAACGATAAACAACTGGATGCCCCGAAAACCAAATGTACAATTCTGACATATTTTGCCCAGCTCAAGAATAAATGTAATTCCCAAAACAATCCCTCTTGTTCTTCTTGACAATTCAGATAATTATTGAATGTTATTCCCCTGTATCCCCAGGATATCTTCACTTTATTATCTACTAGACATCATAGATACATATACATCACTGATTCATCCTATTCATGACAGCGAATTTTTCGGACTGCTCTGAGACCAATTGGGCAGTTACGGCCAAGATCTGATTTGATTTTCCTCACTCGATTTTTTTCCATTTTCAACTTGCTGTAAATACCAGTCTGTGGAGTTTTAAATGCCTCAGTCAAATTTGCATTTTGAGTTTCAAAATTGGCGTAGTTTCTAAGTCAGGCACCAGGCAAGCGCCTGACTAAAAAAACTGAAAGCAAGTGAGCGGTAAACTTAATTTAGTAACCATGCTACATTAAAAGCAATTTTCCCTTGTAGCCAGCTTAATTTTGTATAAAACGGCTTAGAACACTTGAAAACAAAATCAGGCATTATTTGACTCAGTTCACTCCGAAACTATGAAATGAAAGGTTTCGAAACTTTATCACATGCCGTTAGAAAGGTTCAATAGTGACAAAAACATTGTCACGTTATTACCACTTGCTACTAGTCAGAGCATACGATCTTTGGTACCTATACGTCATATTTGATATCCTGTGTGATCTTTGTTCTTTTAAATCCGTTATTGCGAGTTACTAGTTCTGTAGATGGAATGCAAACGACTGAGAAACATCTACTGATGTTTCGACCCCAATAATGAAGAAAAACGAGGTAACTTTCAAAAGAAACTGTGCTACTGCATCGGTAGAGGAGTAATAACAAGATGATTTTGTTTTATCAACTGACTTGATTCTGTAAAACAGCTTTAAACACTTGAAAACAAAACTAGGCATCATTGATTCAGTTCACTCCGAATCTTTAAAAAAAAAAGAGCTTTCAAAGCTTTCACACATGCCTTTAGAAAAGTTCAATAGTGACGAAACCATTATTGCGTTATTATCACGAGCTATCAGTCTCGATACCAGTATGACTGAAAGATCTTTGTAACTAATACGATATGTTTGATATCCTTTGTGATCTTTGTTCTTTTAAATCCTTCATCTCGTGTGGCTAGCTCAGCGGACAGAATTCAAACAAAACAAAACTGAGATACATCTACTGATGCTTCGACCCCAGTACTCTCCGTTTCATTCTGATTTACGTGCATGTTAGTAGCAATCAAGGATAACTATAAAGTGCTCAGGAGTAGTTAGCAAGTGAGGAAGCAGGTGAAAAGTAAAATTTATTTGGTAACAATGATGGACAAATTACTGATTCCCAGTCCATGGACGACCCCGATGGACGACCAAATGAACTACACTGAATTGGACTGACTCTACCAAAGGGGGGCAACTCTCGGAAGAAACTGTGCTGCTGCATCGGCGGTGGAGTATAATAACATAATTTGGTTTATCAACTGACTTGATAATGTAAAACGGCTTTAAACACTTGAAAATAAAACTTAATTTAGAAACCATGCTACATTAAGTGTGAGCCAGCTTAATCTTGTATAAAACGGCTTAAAACACCTGAAAACAAAATTAGGCATTATCTGTCTCAGTTCACTCCTAAACTATGAAATGAAAGCTTTCGAAACTTTCTCAGATGCCTTGGGAAAGGTTCAATAATTATGAAAACACTGTCACATTACTATCACGAACTAAGAGTCAGTGCATAAGACTTTTTCTAACTATACGATAGATAAGATATCTTATATGATCTTTGTTCTTTTGAGGATCCGGTAGACCTTCACAGGTGCCCTTCGCTAATAAAATTATTACCGCGTTATTTAAAGCGTAACCACCATGATATTTCAATGAAAAAAAACACACATATATGGAATGGTTATGAAATATACTATCCAGAGAAACCTATTTCGTTTTACTGCGATCACTTCACGTGCACCCCCGCCAGTGTCATCTACTGCATAACTTGCTCTTATTACGAAAAGTTATACTTTGGTGAAACGGGAAGACGACTAGGTGACCGATTCCGATTTAGAAAGAAATGACAAGGACGCATCCAAAGCAGTCGCTAAACACTTAAATCTCCCTATAATCATTCTAAGCAGCATATGGCACATTGCGGCCTTTCCCTTCATCAAGGCAGTTAGGAAAGCCGCAAAACGCTAGAACAAAAATTTATTTTTCAAATCGGCACTCTTAACTCCCACGGTATCAACGGGCGCTTTTCATTCAACTAATTTATTCTTGTTTTCTCGTCACCATATTCCCACCGATAACGTAGCTCCATTTTCTGCATATAAATCCTCAAACAACCCATAATTCCTCAAATCGCTCGAACGAAGGGAAACGCTCGAAATGTCAGCTTTTAAACTCTTTACGGTAGCCAATTTACGTTATCAACTCGGTTGATCATAGTTTATTACCCTATTTCGTTTTAACTTGATCTAATCGTAAAATGACTCAAGCGCCACGATCCGAAACGGACGATGGTTCGTCGAGCGAATTAATCGGGTATCAAATCGAACCGCACAAATAAAACTTCTGCTCAGTGTCAATCTTAAGGGCTTGGTCTTCAAATCTGTGTGTTGCTTTTTCGATATTCCTATTGGCTGTCTTGCAATCTTTCTGTTAAGTTTAGTTATCAACATTTTACCAATACACGTTACGTCGGATACCATTGCGGGGGATGGATTTCGAAAAACGGAAAAGCCCCACACGCTTTTTAAAATTGGTATCTTTGGAAGCCTCCGGACCAATTTCAAGTCAATCCGTAAAGGTTTCATTCATTCGTCCAAAGAAGACACACTCGCGGAAAAATGGAGTGGTTTTTTTTTGCTTCCAAAGTTTTGCTAACACCTCACGCCTTTGGTTGATCATAAACCGCCAATAAAAACACAGAAGCAGAGTCCCAGGAGACTTTCGACAAAACCATGATTCGTGGGAAACTATCCTGCAGCTGTGTGACAGAGCTTCGTTCAATTCGGAATGCCCGCAAGGAGAAGAAATTCAAGGCAGCGGAAAGTTTCGGCGGCGCCGTCAAGTTCAATTCTCACTAAACCCGAGGAGGCAGAACTTTTGTCGATAGTTGCTCGAGGGTAAGTAGCGAAGATTGCTCATACCACGAGTCCATGTCCGTTACGGCGAGATTTCCCCTCCATTCTTCATCGAAATTCTTCAATGTCTGGCTCTTACGGCTAGGCTTCTTTCTAGCTTCAACCCAAAAATACTTTCCCTTTTTGTCTCTACCCATAATTTCACGAACTACTGTGATGAACACGTGTAACTGAAATGACACATCATAATTGGCTTTTCTCACTTAACTTTACTTCCCTTCACACCCGAAGAATTTAGTTCGGAAAAATGTTTTTGTATATAACTCGAGTGCGTCTCGATATTTTACGACAAAATTTTTTGGAAACTGTTGTTAAAATAGTAATACTTTGTTTGAGGTGAAAAAAAATGGCAAAATTTAATTATGTTGACATGTAATGTGATACAGGCTGACGATTGTTTCACAAAAGCAATTTTTAAAAATTGAAAGAGGGCTACCGATAGCATTCAAACCCCTTAGTGATTTATCCCCAAAACAAACAGGTAATCGCCTGAATAGACATGTTGAAGAAGGTAATGGGTGGGATTGATGTCCAGGTCTGCCAAAAAGTATATCTGTGAGGACATGGAGGACTCGTAGGGGTTAATGCAGCGGAACGAACGACCCACCTTAACAGAAGTTACCAAAACCTCAGTAGTTGTCTTTTTTCGCAACTCTGAACTCTATTAATTAGCGACAACTGCAGACAACTGTTGGCAAATACTGGTGAACTAAACAGCCATTGGCCGCGTAAATAACTGAACTGTAGACATGTTTGTGTTTATCGAGTGTGGACACAATTACCACACCTCTATTGTAGAATACAATGCATTAAAACACACTCAATTAGACTGACAACATTAGAAAATATCTAACAAAATGCTTTAGATATTACTATAAACTTAATCGGACTCCCTTATAAGAACTTTGCTACTAGCATGCATCAGGTATGAAATTTCGCACATTTACGAAGCCATGCTATCTGACTGCATTAAAAATGTAATCGGATTGCTTGACATAAGAACTGAGGTCTGCAATCATAATAACTCAAACAAACTGTTACATAGGAAGTGTTGTTAAAACGTTTTATATAATCTGTATATATTATACATCGGCTGGTGACCCGCAGGCTCGTGTTCTTGAAGTTCCTGTTCCCTAATTAACTTATAGTAAAACTTGATTTGTAAAGCGCTTAAGACAGTATCGTTTCCGCGATATAGATACTCTGTTCCAGCAAAGCGATATTTGATTAAAGTTTGTGTCGACTACGTGCAGCTAAACTGGTCAAAACAATCTGCCTCTCACTCAGCTTTGGTACCGATCATATTTTTCCAAATGGAAAGTTAAGATGTTACGATCAAACGGATACCAAGATACCACAAAGTAGCATGAATTGTTGATGAATTACATTAAGTATAAATCGCTTGTCTAGTTTTAGCTCTCGAGTACAAAAAAGACTGTATGAAAGGAATATCATAATGCAGTTTCGTACACGCGACAAACTGCACATGCCGTTGCATGCCACATTACAGGCTGAATTAAGTACTAAACCATGAGGTACTTTAAAAAGGTCAAATTCAATTGTTATTGCTCGCGCTGTTACATCAAAGCATCGAGCTTGTGACAAGTTGCCCTAGGCTGAGTAAGTGTTAGTAACTGACTATGAAACAGGATGCAAGAGTTTGAGTAAACTTTCTTTTGTCTTCCTCACGGTTTCGAAAAACGGAGACATGTCTTCTTTTAACTTCTCCATCGCCTTCTCCAAACTCCTAAGACTTTCTTCACAAACTCTTCCTCGCTCCACGTCCTTTTTGAACTGAGCGCATATTTCCTCAAGCCCCTCTACTTGATCGCCTGTTAACTCCATTCGTATTTGTGCCAATTGCTCAGCCATGAGCACACTCCATACCACTCTATTTCCATCGGGTTCTTGCATTGCATTTGGCACGTAGATCCGGTACTGATTTTTAGTTTGCAGGAATTTTACTTCAAAATCTCTGGCTGATGAACGATTGGAAATTCCACTCTTTAAAGATAACAGGATTCCGACTTTATAGCTGGAATATGCCGTCAGGTTTTCTTCAAACTTGTTGCATTCGTTAGAGGGAACTGATGTCGTTTGATTCTTAACCTCGATCATTATTTTGTCGTTTAATGGTGTTGTAGCGACAATATCGCACATCTTCTGGCCAGTTGAAGTGACGTCTTCCACCGACCAACTGGGAAAGCGGTGTTTTAGAATTTTTAGCACAGTCATTTCCCCCACAACTCCTTTGACCCCAGGTTTCATCAAATTCTTGGAGATCTGATCTAGTTTGTCGTTGCATGTTTTCATTTCCCTGTGGACTTCATCCTTTATCTCTTTCAGCCCGTCATGTACGCGTGACTCAGAGCTGTTAATCTGGGTCTTAATGTTTTCCTCTGACTGGGTTATGGTGGTGTTCAAACTGCTAAGTGGCGGCACCCTCTGAGCAACGGTATCAACTCTTTCGGTCAGGGAATCTTTCAAATCTTCTCTGAGTGTTTTCACCTCTCGGCTGACGTTCTCTTGCACAGTATTTACCTGGCTCTTTACCTCTGTCTCGATGTTGGAGACGCTATCTTGGATCGGTTTCATCTGAGAGGTCAGAGCCTCCTCTAGGAACGCTTGGTTAACGTTTACACTTAAGGTAAATGACTCTCTAACTTTGACTCCCAGCTCAAATATGCTGACAAGTCCATCTTCTGAAAGCGTACGAACCCACGTGCTATATCGCTTCATGTCGAGCGTGATGGTGGTAAAACGTGACCGACCATCTTCTAACTGTTCTTGATCCAAACGCTGCCTCTTGGTATTTGGTTCGTTCGTGTTGGAAGCCATTACTCGAGTTTCTTTCGTCTACGAACGTGTCAAGAGGGAGCATATAATCTCAGAGGCGTCTTATAACGATCACAAACATGTTTCTCGGAAAGAGGACAATAGCTTGATAAGGTTAAAAGCCTATGCTAATCAGCATACCTTATAAGGCATATTGAAATACAATATTGGTCTATAAACGGAAGCTAAGAAAGTCGCAAAACAGAAACTAAAGCATTGCTTCATTTGAAGCAATACAAGAGACCTCCCTCCTCTGAGATGGCGCTGTCACATGTGCGTCATTTCTGTCCATTGTAACGCTTCAAAGGAACCTCTGATTACAATTCTTGTATTGTGCATGCTAAATCGTTTGGTGACATTGACCTTCGAAATTAACACAAAAGCACATGCATGCTGTTGGCGGTAGACCCGCACTAACAGATGTGGGGCGTCAAATCCAGAAAGGGTTGATCCGCGAACATAAAAGAGAATTTCCAAGAAAACTTAGTACGGAACCCAAAGCAACAAAAATGAACTCAAAGAAAGCTGGATTACACTAAAATGAGAGGCTAAATGCTAATTCTTAACCACGATACAAGTAGGCACTTAGCTGAGTCATCCCCACGAAGAATGGACAAGAGGGAAGAAGTATCCCTAAGAACAGCAGATGAAATATTATGCCTCATAGGCAAACTCACTTTCTCAAACTCCCGAAGAGAGGAAATCAGCCTTAGGAAAGCAAAAATTACCACAAATATAAGTCGTGTATATTTTTTTGGTACTGTTACTACTAAATGTCGGGGGAAACTAGCTATTGAGCACACCACGCCTGGCGAAAGGCACCAAGACTCTCGAACTGTCTTTTTCTGCTTTCTCTGATAACTCAGTTTTCCAGTACACAATTTCATTTACATCCTGAATAACTCTGGTCAATCTCTTAGTGGCTCTCACACTTTGATTCTCACTGAATACTTCTTCTTCAACTGCGGAATTCTGACTCTACTCTACTGCACATTGTCTACATTCCTCTAATCTTCTCTTCCCTCTACTCTCTTCTCCCCACTCCCTTCTCCCCACTCTCATCTAAGTAAATTCTAAAGAACATACTTATGTATTTACTACTAACCGACACGGGTAAGCATGCAGGCTGGCTGACCTTGGGAGATCAAACATTTGTTGTTAGAACGCTTAACCAAACAATTTCACGAGACTTTCCATCTGAACGACAAAGTACTTAATCATAATGCTTTTGATCAACTGAGTAAACCGTCGAAAAACCGCTCAAAATAATTTGTATGACTCAATGAAAATTCCGTTAATCAGTAGCAGTTACTAATAGTTCATCCTCCACCCCTCCCTCAGTAACAACAATCTGCCTACCACCCCTCCCTGAGTATTGATTGATTGCATCCCACCTCTCCCTAAGTACTAATAGCTTGCCTCCCCACGATAAAATGGTCCTAAAAGAAAAAAAAAGCCAAAAAAAATGGTTTAAAAATTGTCCAAAATATAATCCAATAGTCCAATAGCCCAAGGGTCCAATGGTCCACTCTTTATTTTACTCTATGCCAGTCAAAACAAGAGTTACGTGTGGGTCCAAATTAATTAACGCAAGGTCAAACGAGTAGACAAAGTAGGCACGTCCACTTAAGAAACTTAGACAAGGCGGTTACACTTCGGAAGCTCATCACGACAGCTCAGACCTAAATAACTTCGGAATTCGAATTCGTACATTAAATACTTTCTTAATATAAACGAAAAATTAAATCATATTACAATGACTAACTAACCGCCTTACTAATTATAACCTAACTAAATGCTTTTTAACGATACTTTTGTTTCATCTTTAATAATTATGCTTTGTTGTCTTTGGTAACGACTCATTGATCTTGATGAAGAGTAACCTTTTGACAAAGTATGTCATCATTGCCTTGTGCACAATTTAAAACTGCAAGATATTTCATCTTTTTAGAAAGGCAGTAACTAAATGCCCGGCAGTCAAAAACTTTCACGCAACTTCCACCTAAAGGTTCTTTCAAACTTCTTAAGATAAAAATTTCTGACTGCCGGGCATTTAGTCCATTTGAGACCGTGCCCGGCAGTCTGATCAGAAGCGTAGAATTTCAAAGTGTCGACAACCGAGCGATATTGTAGAATCGGAGAATCTAACCACTAAAAAAACAAATTAGGTTTTGGAATCGCTTTGCATTCCTTAACAAACATTTCATATTCTTAAGAGGTTTGAAAGAACTTTTCGGCTGAAATTGCGTGAAAATTTTTATTGTTGGGCATTAAGTCTATTTGAGACCGTGCCCGGCTGTCGGGCATTTAGTCTCTGCGTTTCAGAAAATACTACAACAAAAACTTAAGAAATTTTTGAAAAATCCCTACTCTTGTCTGTTATTGGTGACGGTGATGAAAAAAACTGAATACATTCTGGTCTCGACGATTGTTTACTCTCCTGGAGGTACCTAGGGTCATGTATTATTGAATCGACCCCAACACACCTGCGCTCAAACCACGATCACAACTAGCAAACGTCTGGCATATCTAATTCATTAAAGATGAAATCAAGAAAACTCGGGCCATTTTCTGACTCTTCTGGGTCGAAATGCTGCCTCCTGATATTTCGTTCTTCCGCGTTTGGTGCCATTATATCACTCCAGTCTATCATTTACGAACACACCAAGGGAGATTGCATGATCTCGGAAATGTCTGCTAAAATAAACAATAGCCTCGGGAAAAAGGGGACAGTTCTCAATATAAGATAAATTTAAATACTTCTTTGTTACTTGGCATATCTTAAAGGGATGTCGAGGAATAAAAAGAGTCGATAATTGGAATTGAAGAGAAATACAGAACAGAAACCAAAGAGTAAACCACTGATTTGGGGTAACGCAAGGGACCTTTCTCTGGTAATTGAAAGACTGGCTTCAAGGGAATGTTGATTTTTTTTTAGTTCAGTGGAGATAACCATCATTATGTAAGTATGTCGCTTTGGGGTCTTCTGTAGTTATTGTAAGCCAACGATAAATTCACCAACAGACTATGCGAACATTCTGAATACAGAAAATGAGAAGTGAAAAGTCTATCAAGTTTATTAAGACAATGTTCTCGGCAGTAGTTGGCTGTGTATCTATTGCACTATCGAGTCGAGCGCTGTACATTCTCTTTTATAATTGTTTGGAGAATATGACGTATATGAACAGTAAACTACCTAAAATAATCACGTTTACTGAAGGGGTTTACAATTGTTGGATAAACTAATCGATATCCCACACTCGGTCAAGATACGTTGTGCACGGCCATAAAACTTGATCGGTTAGTGTAAAACGCAGACTGCAAACTGCAGACTGCAGACTGCAGACTGGGGATAAAATGCAGACTAAAGGCTGCAGACCAGGGGTAAAATGTAGACTCGGGTTCTAAATTAACCCGCTTCCTCGGAAAAACTTCAAGAGTGAGCTGGGGTTGAGGCCGCATAAGTCGTGAAAGGTTGTCAATAATCGTCATGGCGATTGACGGTTTTGGCGTTGACACATTGTGTTAAGGTAAGAACGATAAGAAACGTAAGTGTTTGAATATGCAATTCACAGCCGGCTAAACACATTTCCCTTGTTAAGGAATAAACAGTTCTACTTAGCAACATTAGGTAGCTTTAACATACGTGTAGCTCATCTATACTTTGTTTGGTTTTGAAAGTAGACTTTCGTCTCACATCGGTATTTTCGATTACTTGGACAATAAAAACCAATTTCTTGTACCTTTGTTTTGCGCCGCGAAGTTAGGCGTGCAAATTCTTCAAATTAAATGCAAATTTGTGGGTGCGAGATAAGGGTCTGATTCAAAACCTCCAAACAATATTTTCAGCTCAGGTGTTTGCCTTTCCTATTCCGCTCGGTGTTTCACTTCAATATTAACCCGTGGTAAATCTGCAGCTATCATGGTTAACTTAGCCTATGTCGGGCCTCTTGCGGCCAACAAGGGATGCTAAAGAAATTTAGTTATGTTGTGACGTGTTTTTATTCACTGGAAAAATAGCGGAGTCTTCCTTAAATAGGAACAGATTAGAGCAAGTAGAAATCTCAAGTTCCTTTTAAGTTTAATCATTCAGCGAAACCAGAAATATCCATAAATTTCAACTAAAGAACCGAGTCTGCATTCTACCCCTGGTCTGCAGTCTGCAGTCTACGTTTTACACTGACCGGTTAAATGATACCGTCTTTCGGGCGTAAGCTCATCTATTGAAGTTATGTACTGTAACGTAATGATCGGACAAAAGAACATTTAATCTATGGACCATGCTTATTTAACGTTAAATAATCTTTTTTTTTTCTATTCATTTCGTCGTATTGTAGTTTTTTTCATTACGTAGCGTCTTTTGTTTTGCAAGATAATGTGTGGGTTTGTTTTTCGTTTCGTTTGCTGTATAAGTGTACTGCGTTCAGGTTTATTTGAAGTCCTGTTCGAATTTATTCGAGATCGTTCAGGATTAGTTCGTGCGAAATCGGGCATTTTGTGTTCAATTAAAATTTGTTATTCGCGAATTTAGTTCGAGTTAATAATAAAATGATCAATTAGTATACAAATCTAATTGTTAATTAATCTGTCCGGCTTAAATAAAAGGAGGAAAAAAAAAAAAAAAAAAAGCTAACAGGAGATGAGCTGCTTAAAAAGTTATGATAATACAAGCTGCGAAATTTGAAAACCATAAACTATAAATTAGTTGCTTTGAGACATGAAGAGATAACGCTACTCACCCTTAAAAAGGCTTAAGACGGTCGGTTTTAAAACGTGGCATGTTAAAAGGTCACGCACGTCTTCATAACTAAGCAGTTCGTGCGTCAAAAAAAGAAATTGGTGTCAATTCTGTCGCTGTCTATAAATATGCAGTTATCATTTCCCCCATTTTCTCAAGCTCACCCATTTCATCTCAATATACCATTTCCCCTTCTATTTACTGCTGAAGCCCGTACATATCGGAGGAATATTCTGCCTTTTTCCGACAGCTATAATCGAAGGTTTGCAACGTTTGACTACAATCGTACCCCACAGTACCATTTTCAATGTTCTTTCCTCTTAGAAAGCGACAGATCATCTTGATAAATATTCATAACAAAAAGTCGTCATCCTCTCAGGAATCCTTATCGTATTGGTTTGAAATATTGAATAAAATTGGCAACCAGTAAGGCGGATCTTTCCCCGCTCAAAAAGCACTTGTAACGATAATAAAGTTAACATATGTATACCAGTTGATACCTGTTAACATTTTGAATATCCAGTTACGATAACCTGTAACTCAAGCTCAGTCAATTTATTTCACAAAGCACGGCAGTTATACAAAGTAAATGTTGATTTCTGCAATAAAACTTTTATTGTGTGAGCGCTAGCCAGTGCTGACTTAGTACTGAATATTGCAAGATCGGCATTTGAATTCTCTGTGGTTGGCGGAGATAGCCTTGCATCAATATAACTTTTATAAGATCATTCTTTCGCGAATCAAGTTTTGTTTAACATGCTATCACTATTTTAAGCCTGCGAAAGCTGAAAGCATACTTTCAAGAGATAATAGCTGAGGGAGACAGATGCAATGGGGTGATAGCAAGATAATAGCTGTTTTCTCTCCACGTAGCTGCACCAGAAACCCACGAACGAAATCACGGTGTCATCGAGAAGTTCCACTGAAGAGCCATGGCGTTTAGCGGTTATTTCGAATTCACTGATGGGAAACCTCCTCACAGAGTCCTCTCTCCACCGACGGAATTACTTGAATCCTGCCAGGAATCACAGTTAAACGAACCGATAGCACCTAGGGGAAAGAACTATAAAACGCTACAAGATAGAGGCGAGAACAGTAAGTAATTATTTTTTGTTTATCGTGCTTAACCAAGCATGCGATGTAGAGTAGCGGTGATATTGTTTATATTAATATTTTAACCTCGGCAAGGGGTATAAACCACTCTTTGGTTGTTAAAAGCGATGGTCACGAATGGTTATTCATTTTTTGTGTGTGTGCTGTCCAAGAATGCCTTCATTTTGAAAGACTACAAAGTGTTGGTTGTGAAAAAACGCAATAACGCGGACAAAATTAAGTTAAGCGGCACAAAGTTGGCCTCGGATAGGGAATATTAAAATGAATTACAAATTTTAAAAAACCTCTAACTGTTCCTTTTCCAGGTAAATGAGCGGCCCAAACGTAAATTAGGCGAATCAACTTTGTCCAAAATTTACGTTTAATTTAAGGCCTGTTCCAAACGTCGTGCTACTGCCGTGCCGAACTCAAATGAAATAGTAATTTCGATTTAAGCACGGCAGTAGCACGCCGTTTGAAACCATTAAGCGCGGCACGGCTGAATTAGGTTCGGCACGACTACTTAGCGCGGCAGGCCTTGCCGTGCCGCACGGCAGTAGCACGACTTGGTTTCAAACGTTGTGCTACTGTCGCGCCGAACTCAATTCATAAATTAATTTAACGGATTTTGCATTATTTGCATACTATTACGCATGCGCACTAATAAAAAAAGGACAAATCTACCCGTTTTGCCCGAAAGCTTGAGAGAAGAGGAATCCGACGGTGACAATAAATTGCTTAGGGTTAGGGTTAGGGTTTGGAAACGCCGGCACGATCGTAATACAGTAACTTGCTGGCTCTCGTCAAGGGAAACCAGAAGAAGAATAAATGAAAAAACTTTCAAAAGTAATCCTCTCCTTGCAATAACAGTATTCAATATGGACTGTTGCATTCGCCTGCGTTGCCTTCTGGCATTTAAAATTTTCTTAAACAAATTTGGATGGGGCGATACCGCTGGATGGATGGTTTGTTTTGTCTTTTGAATTTGGCGCGACTGCATTAGGTTCGACGTTTGAAACCGCTGCCGTGCTATCGTCGTGCCACTGCCGAGCCAAATTCATTTGAGTTCGGCACGGCAGTAGCACGACGTTTGGAACAGGCCTAAGTCTCTACTTGGATTTAAGTGTTACAGTAGTAGGAAAAGTAATAGCTAGCACTGAAGAGGCTGTTTAAACAGATTTGATACTAAGAACTGAGCATTACCGCTAAATTTGTGAAAGCGAGTCCGGTGCGAGACTGGAGACTGCGGAGCGCGGAAAGCTTACAAATGGCAGGGAAAATGGAGACTACGGACCAGTCATAATTTCTCGCCTGGAAGAGTGAGACGAACCGCGATCTCAGACCCTTACATTGCACTTCGATTTTGAATGAGCTTTACCCCATTCCATCTGTCTCCCTCTAAAATGATCCTTGTAGGTAGGCTATGCATGCTGGGAAACACCCGACTTGCTCAGGGTCTTTTATGTTCTATATTTTTCAGTTTTATCTTTATAAATAAACAAAAAAAAATCTATGTTAGCGCATCAAATGGTATGTTACTCGCACCAATCAGATCGCAGTATTATGGGGATTATCTCGCACCAATCAAATTACCGCATTAGGGGATGAGTCTCGCACCAATCAGATCACGGCATTGGGGTATGCTTATACCAATCAGAGCGTCAGGGTACTGTCCCTTATGTCATGGATTTATGGTGTCGAAAAAGTGTCCCAAGGTTGACCAGGAGCTTATTACTAATGGTCTGCTGCGCACACTGGGAACCACATCAATAAAACAATCAATTAATACATATCAATGAAATAATTTATTCTTTCGTGTGGACCTCGTCGCTATGAGCTGTCGGGGTTACAAATGTCGGCAGGGAATTTTTCTACCATTTAAAAGTTAAAAAATGTTTTGTGTATCGCTCCCTCACGTACAACGCACAAGCCGTCAGCAAAAGGTCTCACACGAAGTTATCATGGGAGCGTTTGTTTTGGATGACCCAGGTAAAAATTGCTCAAAGCATTTTCATAACGTATATTTGATCGATAATCTTGTTTTAGCCTCATGATGTCTCTTTTGGCGAAGGTTGAAAAGATCATTAAGTTATATCTACTTTCTGTATCGACTGCCATGTTAAATTTTCGTGTCTTTGCTTTTAAAAGTTCTCCATAAATTGCATCTTTTTTAACCAGTATTTTCCCGATACATTACGTGTTTAGTTGTATTTATTGACTAAGATTTCTGAGACGAATGTCATTTTCCTGTAAACAATCAAAATTTTTTACGACATATTCCTATCCTACTGAATAAAAGTACAATTGGAAGTAAATGCTACTGTTAGTCAATTTTCTTCGCAATTCTCACGTGATAGACGTTTTCTACTCATCAAATTCGCGTTTAGTTACCTTGGACTTCACCTCATCGAGTGCCAATTCCTTGTAAACAACCTGCATTTTATCACGCATTTTTATTCAACCAAACAGAGGCCCACATAGACGCCTTTAAGTGTGATACTTTCTCTTCTTTCAATACATTTTCACTTGTTGGAAGAACGGAGACCTTAAAATAGCTTCAGGTAGAGACTATTGAAAATGAAGTAGAATTTCGGTTTGCCTTGCATAGAAAAATTAAATGGAAGAATATTTGTAAGGCAGTGAGTTGCCGGTAATCGACCTTGCATGCGCACAAAGATTTCTGGGATCGCGACGGGGTAAACGTTGCAGGGTTGTTTCGACCGAGAAACGGCTTTGGAGCTAGATCAACTATCATCGCTATTTCGCTACTGTTTTATCAGAAATAGCTCTAGCTAAAGCTTATATGAGGGAAGCGTAAGTTTTTGTTCGAATAACTATGAAATATTTGTTAAAACCTACCGATAAACTTTTCTCCTCGCATGTATGTGTAAGGTTTATTGTGAGAGTTAAATTATTTCACGAGTCAAGTTCGAATCAACTTAAATTTTTCCCTTCTTTGTAAAATAACATCGTAAGGTAATACACTGTTATTGTAACCGCAAAAGAATTAAAACAAAACACACAAACCTGTTCGTACTTTAGTTGAAACAGCTTATTTCATCTGTTTCGATTTCATCACAGGCAAAAATTCCTCGCATTCTAAATTGTTGCTAGGCGCTCCTAGACCTCTCTCTATCGTACAGAATTGTTGCAAAGTTTACAAAACGTTTCAAAGGCTGTTATTGTCCGTTAGGACATATGTGAACCCTTGTGATAACCACAACTGCTGCTCCGATTACTCGTTACAACTTTCCACTTCTTTGTACATGCATACAACTCGGCGCATATCATACTTTACGTATTCCACACATAATATAACATGACTCGCTCTGAAAATTTTGAACAAGAGAAACCTGTATATCACGAGAAAAACAAGAAAATTAAACATTATCATTTTGATGAAAAAAACGTTTGAATTGACTCGAACTTGATTCATAATATGGTATAACTTTACACACATAAATAGAACTGGAAAGACTTAATTGAATTATTTCCTGGCGATTTATGGCTAATTTTGGAATACTGCAAGACCATCACGCGATGATGATTTTATCATAAACCTTACGCAAGGAGAGAAGTTTATCGGTATGTTTTCTTACATATTTCGTGGTTATTCTGACAAAAAGTTATACTTCCCTCTTATCAGCATCATCCTCGTCCATTTCTGATAAAACAGCGGCTGAAAAGCGTTAATCTATTTCCAAAGTTGTTTCTAGATTGGACGTTGAAACAACCTTTCGCCACACATTTCCTTCTGGCAACTTGCAATGTTTTCCCCGTGGTGATCCCAGAAATCTTTGTACAAACACTAGAATCCGATTACTGGCGACTCATCCATAGGAAGGCCTTTTTTTTTGCTCTCCATCCCCCTCCCCCCCCCAAAAAAAAACAAAAAACAAAAAACAAAAACTAATAATAACTATGGCACGAGTGTTTTCCTTTGCTTCTTTCCTTCCGTGACCTAGCGTTCCCGTTGGATCATGGGTACCGGTATTGTTATCATGGCGGCGAATTTGTTTCGAAAATGTTTTTGAACTAAACGAGTCAATTTTACCGTAATGACAGATTTTTGAAACTGTCGTGAACGAAGTTGATGTTCAACGCTAGTGGAGTATAATTAACGAAGTCGTTTAGAGAATTAACTCTTCATCAAAACTTCAATCGGACCAAGCCGAGTTCATTTGAGCGATGGATTATGCCGCAAGTAACAGCTCCGAACTCAAGGTTTTTTTCGCGAAGTCTCGATCGCCTACATGTCGCTCAACTGAAGAGGCCGACAGTCTAACAGAGGACATACTTCAGCCTCTAGTCGCTGGAGATGAATTTGAAGAAGAAGAGTTCGAAGGTAACACGGATATTTTTTTTTCGATCGTGAAAGTTATCCACGTCACAGTTTCAGCTTTACGCCAAATGAACTTTACATCTTGTATTTTTTTTATTAGCAAAAGTTTGAGGAAGTAAAGTATTTTCTCGTATATATTCCACAGGAAAGTATTATTTTATGTTACATATGTTCTGAAATCAGTTTACTACAATTAAATACCAAGATACCAATTATGCTAGATTAGTATGGACATTCGGCTTAATACCGTGTTCCACTGACGGATGTGATCAATATCAGGTTTACTTTGTTTATTTTGTTTAAGTTAAGAAAAAAGAGATTCCATGTGTATCAATTCAATCAGAACAGTGAAACTGAGTGCCATTTAGAGTTAATGAATACCTGAATCTCTCTCTTGTTATGAACTACTGAAATTTGGCACTTCAAATTTCAGAAGTAATTTATTTTATTTTTAATCACAACCATCACATAATTCAGACAAACTTCAGTTAATCAGGAGTCCTGGTAAAACCTTTTTCTAAAGTCGCCATTAGCCAACCTAAAATCATAGGATAGTCGCCAAAAGATGTAATGGCGAAAAAGTTTTCCCACTCGCCAATTTGTGACCAAAATGTTCGCAACTTGGAGCACTGTTAATCGTCTTGAGAATCCCAGATTGAAGAGGGGTTGTTAAATGTTAAAATCATCCATGTGCAAGGCCCCAAAATCTGAGAAAACTAGAGACTAAAATATTTTCCCAGACACTGTATATTATTTTAATTCATTAAACCATCGCTTAAATACTCAGATTATTGTTAGGTACCATTAAAAACAGGAAAAGTAGTATAAGAGTTGTCAAACTCTCTTTTCATTTTGTTTCTCCCAAATTTAAGTTTCTATCTCACAACATTACCATTAATGAAATTGTTCATACACAGGCTTTTGTCCTCATAAAGTTGACTTTTGGCTTAATCAGCTTCAGACCCTTAGGTCTATTAAATAGCCTGGTTATACTAAAAAACCTTTTTAATGGATACATTTAAGGAAAGGGAAATATTTTTAACTTCAGGTGCATGAGAAAAATTAGATGCAAATACAGATTTAGCAGTTTGGAAACAGGAAAATTATTTTGCCCCAGGCTTCCAAAACTTTAAAATTATCTTGCCCAGACTAGCCTGCATGGAAGCAATCTTGACTAGTTTCCATGGCAGGCAGTGTGTCTGCTGAAGCCAGCAGAAAAATTTTCCATGTATGTCAGGCAAAACTGCCATTTATTTTCTCTGAAATGAAAAAACATTAGAGTACAGACTGAGCTTCTATAAGCTGCCTACATACAATTTATGCCTTCTACTTAAAAACGCATTAATTAACATCTGCATTGCACTATGTTAAAAATATTTCTTAGCAACCATGGCTAATTTATAACAATGACTGATGATAAAGTTGGAATAGAAGAGCTACAAGTAAATCATAGGAAAAAAAGCAAGAGACTGGAGGAAATTGGAAGGATGAGGAGAAAGAGTTTTTGATCATTTTATATGAGTACATGTACAAAGATGTATTTGAAATGTACTGTGTAATTACATGTATGTAGCTCATGATGACTACATGAATAAGTCCCACTAGTAACCTAGACAGAATTTCTCCATTATCAGTATGATATCAAGCAGACAAGTAATAGGAATAAACTAAAAATATCAATCAGGGGATTATTGGTCAATCCAATGCCAAATTCTCCAAACTAACATCACATAAATTGTATGGCAGACAGTAAGGAGAATTATTTGTGAAATCTTGGGATTTAAAGGGTTAAATTGGTGAGAAGATGTAGGAATGAAACGGATGGAAAATTTTGAATTGAGGTCACAATTGAGTGAGACAAAAATATGAAAAAACAATTCCTCAACTTGTTAAAAAGAGGTAATTTTTTTAATAAATGCAACAATGACAAAATTTTTCAAAAGAGTGTTTTCTTGATTAGCTTGATTTTCTTTGAATCCACCCAATTTAATCACCTGGAAAACAACAAGAATCAGTGTTTGTGCAGCTATATTAACAAGTGAATCCAGGCCTTTAGAACTTTAAAAGAAATGAAAAACTTTGAGACTTGTAGGAAATGTGTACAATGTTTTGAGACTTGATGAAAATTTTGGGATATGTGCAATTTTTTGTGTTATTTCTTACCAACATCTTTTATTTTCAGCCAAGAGAAATAGTTTATTTTTCCTGATAAATTGGATTTTGTATATTATAATGTTACTTCAGAGGTGGAAGTTTTCTATTGTGCATATTATTAACTAAATATGCAGATTATTTTTCATATCCTGGTATTTTTATGTTCACTTTTCATGTATGTTTCCTTACCGCACTGAACCACAGTTAGGGTACATATATGCCATTACTTTTAGCTTGTAAAGAATGTGAAAAATACCCTTTTTCTGCTTGACAAGTTGGGGTGTGTGTTTTTTTGAGATGCATGTTTATTTGAGATTTGATAAATGCATATATCTTAATTATCTTGTAATATCTCAACTTGTACTGTAAGTTATGGTCAAGACCCTTGCTTTATCTGCTCAGATTTGTGGTCAGTGGGCTTCCCAGTTCAGGGCCATAATTTTAAGCAAGAAAATTGAAGTTCCTTTGTAATTTTATAACTTGAGTATCAGTGGTATAAATTTGACTTATAAGCTTGCTTTTTAAATTTGGAATTCTTCAAATTGAAAATTATGTTTATGGTTTCTAATTTGGAGGTCTGTTCCTGGAAAAGATGTTTACAGGTATACACATATCACAGATTCAGTTGTGAAAAGTATTCAAATTGTTAAGATTTCATGATTTTTTTGTTCTCTCCACAGGTTCAGGGGAAATAACTTATACACTATCTGAAGCAGTGGAGAAGATTGGCTTTGGAAAATTTCAAATTAAAATGTTGTTAATAGTTGGCTTTTTCACAGTGAGTACAGTTCCTTAATAAATTACAACCTATGAAATTATATGATTTATGGTATTATCAATAAAGGGCAAAATTACTGAGCGCTGATTGGTTGAGAGAGAGGGCATTTTTTCTTAATCGAGGGCATTTTTAGTAATCAAGAGAGGGCATGATTACCTTGTTCAGTTAAAAGCACTTTGTTGTTTTTCCGTTGGCAGAAACGCTCTGTTGAAATGAGCTTTGTTTTCTAGACTTTGGCAGTGTATCACGACACGGTTTTGGAGAATAAAATTTCATTGAATCGATTGGTCAGTTCAATTTGATTGATGATTTGCCGTAGCGCTAAACAGGCTTCCCAGATAAAAATAGACTGTGTGCGTGATTTTCCTTCGTATAAATTTTGCCCTTTATTGATAAACAAGTAATCCCATGAGACCTCATACTATTAAGGATTAATTGCACTTGAGTTTTCAAAATTTTCCAAATTGCCCTCGTCGCTTTGCGACTTGGGCAATTTTGGAAAATTTTGAAAACTCTCATGTAATTAATCCTTAATAGTACTTGGCCTCATGTGATTACATATACTTATTATATTTGTGGCAAAATTACTGAATGATGATTGGTGTAGACAGTGACAGCATTTTTTTCTGAATCACAAGGGCTAACAGTTGGTAATCAAGAGGGCATGATTACTTGATGCTGATTGAGCCCATCAGTAAGTTGTGTGGTCATAATCATTTTAGATTGCTGATGCCTTGGAAATGATGCTACTCTCTATTCTTGGGCCAACAATACGTTGTATATGGCACCTTCCAGCTTGGAAAGAGGCCATGGTTACAACTGTAAGTTTCAGACCTTTACCTTGTATCAACAAAATAATGTATTTAATACTTAAACCCGCAAATTTTATTCTTACTTGCCTCAGCGCACAACATTCTCCTACAGCAATGAATAACTGGCAGACTTCACCTTTTATGAAAACCAGAGAACTTGTTTACAAAGAAACAAAATTGTTTTTCATACTCAACATTCATGCATTCTCTTTCATTGGTATGATCATGTGAGAATTATGCCAAACTAAAGGGGGTAGTGATTGATGAGTTCAAATGTGGCAGGCAGTATTGCCAAAGCTATGCTCTGAAGAGGATGGAATGCTGAAGACTCTTTGGCCTACATGTACTGGTACCCTCTCCCTTCCCCTCCCTCCCCCCCCTCCCCCTTGGTGAAACAGAAGGGAGGGAATGTCTATGAAAACCTGACACTGATCGTGTTCTATGATGTCAACCCAATCTATGCAAAATTATGTTCACTTCTGTTTCACCTTGGGTTAAAGACTTTTGTCTAAGATACTTAGTTGTCCGGCCCTTGAAAACTACATGTACTTTGAGTGCTAAGTTTTTCATCTAGAATGCCAAGGCAAATGTTCAAATAGGCTGGCCCTGACACCCAGACCATATTTGAGTGCTGTTCTCAAAACAGCAAAGGATACCAATGATTATTCAGTTAGCTACAGTCATCACATTATGAAAATAATGTATCTGGAGTTTTTAAGACAATCCCTGGGTCATAATAGAATTATCAGACCAGTAATATGTTTTTGATGATATAGTGTACATGTACATGCACTCTTTAGACTGGGATGTTGCAACAAATGAATTTGATGGTGTTTGTAGTTAATTTTATAATCAAGTTATTTTTAGTGTTAATTATAGCATCACTGAAGAAATCACGTGTAAGCACTTAGAGGCACTTAGGTTAGTGGATTTTAAGCTCTCTGATATGGCCCAAGTAACTGGTTTGTTCATCAGTATGGTAACTATTGTTATTAACTCTGTTGAATTACAGGTTGTTTTTGTTGGAATGATGTTTGGTTCATCTTTCTGGGGATGGCTGGCAGATAGATATGGACGGAAAACTGTAAGTAATACAACAATAATGATAATATTAATATCAATTTGATAGTTACTGTAATTATATTTCATTATGACTATTGGTTTAGCACACTGAGTGAGTGGTTACATAGTGGTTCTGGACTACTTCAGTGCATCTCTCCACCCAGGAGAGAGGGTGGACTGTCAGAAAAATCTGACATAATACTGGAGGATGTGGTAGGGGGAGGTTAACCTAGATGGACTAGAGAGTTCTTACTTGTGTGGAGCAAATGGCACATGTACCAGTCCAAGCTCCCCTGTAATGAGCAGTTATTAGATGAGGTGAATTTGCCTTGATCTCCATGGCAAAACTAAAAATATTTTTCCTTCACTTGACAATATTTTCCTCATGTTGCCTGATAGTATTCTACTGCTGCTACAATTTGCCTAAAACTTTGCTAAATGCATATGGTTATTAACTTTAGGTCTCAATTCAGATTTTCTTTCCTGTATATACAGGTAATTGTTATCTGTGCCACCTGGATATTTTATTTTGGATTTATCAGCTCTTTTTCTCCTCATTACTATTGGATCATTGCTCTACGTTGTTTGGTTGGTTTCGGAATTGGTGGTGCACCATTATCGTAAGTTTGAAAAACTGTTACTAAGGATTATTTTTGTTACAGTTACTGCTAAGTTGAACATGATTATATGTTATACAGTAAAGGCTTTGAACCCAGGGTAGTAATAGTGTAGTTTGAAGATGACTTCTGCTCAGGTTGTTGAATTATGTTAGCCACCACTACTGACAACAGTCCTCCTGAGGACTACACTCACCCAGACAATCAAACTATGCTATATCACATGATTATATCTTATCGATCAATTATGAGTTCAAGTTAGATAATGTTAATTTATGTTATATCAACACCAGGATCCAGCTATTCTGACCAAACAAGATGTATATAAGTCAGAAGAGCCTATGATAATTCTCAAATCTTGGTAACAAGGCTCACCTGGTTTTTTTTGGTACAATTGTCTATCTTTTAAGTAACGTATTTGTTCATAGAAAATTAAAGAAGAAGAATGGACTTTGTTAAAAGCCCTCCATTGTCACTGTACTGGTAACAAGAAGAATTTAAAGTAATTTAATTTACTTTTTTCTTTTTGAAATTTTTGTAGGACAACTCTCCTTGCTGAGTTTCTTCCTTCCAGTGCTCGGTCATACTGCATTTTATCATTATCAGTAAGAATTATATCTTCAACCTCATACTTTCTTTTTTTTTGTTACTGCAATTAGATTAATATATTTTTGATACATTTTGCAGCTCTTTTGTCAATGCATGGTAATGATAGTTTGTTTTCAGTGATTTGTCTGCCTATAATGTATTTCTGAAGTGTTGAGCCTCATTTGCATTTAACAATACCTTTTATACTACATGTGCATGAAGTAATTGAACAGACCCTTTCATACTTTTGGATGTCATTCAAATTGGTTGGCAAGTTTATCAAATATTGGCGACAGTTTTTGTATAAAGATGTACAAGTGTTTTAAATTAAAATTAAAAGAGAAACCTTATGCCCAATCAAGGCGAACTTCACCTAGCCAAATTATTTGACAGGATAAATTCTAAGGTCTTGCCTACTCTGAAACTTGCATGGTGGAATTTCTTAAGTTTACTTCCTGACCAATTTATGTGATAAATATATTTTTAAAATGTAGTTTAAAGGCTCGTTGTCAACATACTTGAAACTGACTTCCTTTTGAATGTATTCCACAGTTTTTCTGGTCGATAGGATCATGTTTTACAGTTGGAATTGCTATGGCAGTGATGCCAACATTGGGCTGGAGGTGGTTGTTAGGAATTTTGTCTTTACCTCTTCTGTGCTTTATTTTGATGAGTTTTGTAAGTATTTCATGTGTCTGTCCTTTTCCAATAAGATGATTAACTAATTGTTAAAGTTTGAGAAAAATTGCATTCATTTGCTGGTTTTATTTTTAGGAACAAATTTTGAATGCAATCTTATCTCCATCAGTTTCCCTTATACACAGACTGTATCAAATAGTTGTTGCTCTCATGAAAAGAGAAATGTTTGGTCCTAGGTCTGATGCATGATCATCCAGAAAAGAACCACTCAGATTGTATGAAGACATGGTTATTCATATCCCAGTTGCAACAAATCTGATATTTAGGTTACACAAAAATAAAAAAGGAAATGCTGTTGATACCTCTTCACAGATGCTGACAGGGAAACTACAGTAAGGTGTCTGCGAAAGAAATGTACATCTCCTACTAATTTTGCAATTTTTATTTTTTAATTTTTTTATCATTTTATCATTCTAGTGGCTTCCAGAGTCTGTTAGATATTTAGTAACTGCTGGTGAAAAAGAGAAGGCATTGATAATGCTCCAGAAGGCAGCAAGAACAAACAAGAAAGAATTGCCCTGTGGATATCTCCAAGATGCAGGCGAGGTTAGTGGAATTGCTTTATGCAACAAATTGGCCACAATTTTTCTTGTCCATTTGACAAATAGATTTGATGAGGCATGCTCAACCAATGGGCATGTCAGAATTTTTACAGTTATTGTATAATTCTTTTTAACTGTTTGTAATAATGCTTTGAATTTTGAAAATTGTTCATGCATTTTAAGTTGCTTGCATTTGTGGTTTCAATAAAACTTAGTGCAAATGGGAAGTTTAGAGTAGCAGGCATGAAATGTGAAGAGCTGGAGGCTTTCCTGTTCATTGGGAAGCCTGGGCTCCAGTAGGAAATTTCAGAGGTCTGGATTTTGAGGTCTTTTCTAATTTACTTTGCGTTGTTGCTCCTATAAGTCAACCTAATTGAACAAATTTGACAATAATCTCTTGTATGTTGGGAGTAAAATAAGAGACAGGGAGTTAGCTCATCACTAACAGGTAGATCTTCTTACCCTGCAGCTGCTACTGTAACAGCTATTGTTGTTGTTTTTTTTCCTAACAGAATGGAAAACAAGGAAGAATTGCAGACTTGTTTAGCCCAGAATACAGAAAAACAACAATTCTTCTATGGTTCATATGGTAAGTATACTTTCTAGGACATGTGTGTACATTAAAATTTTGGTTGTACATAATTATGTGCAATTGGTATGGAGCTTGTTAGCCAGTGCCACTCAACTAAGTAACCACCTGTAATCTAATAACAAGACGTAAAAAAGGTTACTCTAATTTGCTTCATTTGATTTCAATGTGGATTTTAAAATATTAACAAGTGTTTTTATCTGTAGGGTTAATTTGGCCTTCACATATTATGGAATAGTATTAATGACCACGGAAATGTACCAAGGGCTAAATGAATCTGAAGAATCTGGTGGTGGAAGCTGTAATGGTTAGTAGAGAACGTGAAAACCTACATGATTAATATCCATTTACTGGTAATAAACTTTCAAAGGCTCACTTTTCAAGAGAACTCAACACATGAATGAATTAGCAAACCTCTCTGTAAAGCAACAATGATGAAATAACGACTCGAGCGTTAGCCCTTCGTCAGAGCGATTGGATCGCTCTGACGAAGGGCTAACGCTCGAAACGTCAGCTTTTAAACTCTTTATGGTGGCCAATTTACGTTATCAGCTCAGTTGATTATACTAAATTACCCAGGTTTTACTTTCCCACCGACACAGCATTACAACGTCTTTAGAAACTTACCCCCTTTATGGTGAAATAACCCCAACTTTCTCAGCTATTAAAATATGTACCAACACAGTTATAGAAAGCAGCTGCCTGTTTCAGACCGTCATCATTGATACATGTAGATGCATATGTTGGCTCAATTTTTGCCTCTCTCTTCAGTCCAGTCTTCTCTTTTTGTTTGGAGTAGGACCTCAGGCTTCTCCTTAAGAGCAGCTAATAAACATGCAAGTCTAAAATAACACTCGCTCTGACAAAGGGCTAGCGCTTCAGACGTCAGTTTTAGAAACTCTTTATAGCGAACAGTTCATACGATCAATTCAGCTGATCAAACCAAATCATCTTGTAATACACTCCATCGACACGACTGGTTTCTTTTGAGAGTTTCTCCTTCAAGATAAGATTAGTTGCTTGACTCTGTAAGCCAATCAACATTGTGAAAGAAAAAACCAGTTACATGCAGGAAATTGCTGTTTTTGGTTTTCTACCGAAAAAGAACAGTTAATCAAAATAGTATAATTCCCCCAAAAAACTGATTGGTTTAAGTGAAATACAGTGAAAAACCACTCATATGAACCTAGGTTCTTCAAGTTATATGAATGGTGTTTACTGTTAAATTAGGCTACCTAGGTTCCTAATCACGTTCTTAATTTTTATTTAAAAAAACAGCCTGCTATATGCCAGCCTCATACTGCCCTGCTTTACATGGTTAACTAGTATACAGTTGGATATATTACGCAGCTATGGATGTATTGACAGAACATTATTGTGGTCTTTTAACACTACCGATGTTTTGGATAGTTTTTGTTACCTTTTTGTACTACATGCATTGTACTGTATCAAACTCTACATACTAAAAATAAGAATCTGTGTTGAGATTTTAGCCTAGAGTGCTTCTTATAAGATGGGTGCTTAAATGGGAAATTTTGGCCTAACAGGTTTTTATACGCAGGTTTTGTAGTGCAGCAAGGTAAACTTCAACTGTTCTGTACAATCAGCTTTTCAATCATCTACCCAGATACAATACCACTGCTTTGATAGTTTCGCAAACGCTTATCCCATTGCATGAATTTGCTACTCGGAAAATGATTAATTAAGGGTGTGTTTACATTGCAGCCGACAGTAATTCAGTGAAGAATCCTGATTGTGGATGTCAGCTTCTTACTGTAACAGACTACACAGACATGATGTGGACAACACTTGCTGAGTTTCCAGGTACGCTATAGCTATTTCCTGGCAAAACTTGTAGCCACATGTAAGGTAGTTACTTCGCATAACATAAACCATAGGCTCTAGTTGAAATTGGCAATAAGGCTAGTATGATTAACCATTTTTGTGGGTGGTACAATTTAATTACATTAGCCATATTGCCGTCGTGAGTGGGTGAGTGAATAAGTGTAGGCCCGCAATGCATGCATGAATGGCAAGTTTATGGTTGCTATCACATTCACTGTTTTACGCTGTGCATACTTGACGAAATGGATAAAAATTCTCCTCACGAGCTAAAGGTCTAGTGTTAGAGCCCTTGCTGCATAATTTTTCCCTGTAATGTTTACTCAAAAATTTCTCATTTCTTAACACAAAAGTTAACACTAATTTTATTTACAGCTTGGTACATAAACATGAAATGATGAGTTGCTTTTTTTTGATACAGGTATCATTGTAACCATGCTTTGTATAGAGAAACTTGGAAGAAAGAAAACAATGGCTGTACAATTCCTTCTTACTGCAATGTGTTACTTTTTACTTTTCATCTGTTCTGGAAGGTAATATTGTAAAAAAACTCTGATCACAAATGATATACAATTCTTGGCCGGAAGTGACTTTGACCAAATTCGCAGAAACAGACCCCTATTCTTTCTCTTTTAGAACTCTGATGACTGTTTTTATATTTGGGGTCAGAGGATTTATATCAGGGGCTTTTCAAGGATTTTATGTCTACACACCAGAGGTAAATTGTATTAACCTATTTACGAGTATTGATGATTCTATTTGTTTTCAAAACGCGAGAACTTGGTTTGTTAAAACCGATACGATGAAAATATCATTCCTCCTTTTTCCTGAAGGGCAAAATCAGTGGAATATTTACTCGTCCTTACGGTTCGTATCAAAAATTAAAGCACAAACAGATCAGTAAATGTTCGGTGATACTAACGCGACTTAACTGGTAATTAGGCGCACTTCTTGAACCCTAGAAAACCTTACAAGAGGATAGAAAGGACGCCTGCTTCATTTACTCGACGAATTATTTGCCCGTACGGGATTTGAACCCATGACCTTTGCGATACCGGTGTAGTGCTCGACTAGCTGAGCTAACAAGAGAACTGGGAGCTGGTCATTATGTTGGTTCCAAATAAACCCTTGAAGTGATGAAAAAATGACTGCAGGATAGCGAAATGAATATGAAAGCGATCTTTGGAGAGCACTGCACCGGTATCGCAGAGGTCATGGGTTCAAATCCTGTACAGGCCTTATTTTCACTACCGCTTAAGTAGTGTTCAGTACTGGAAAGAAGGCTTTCATATTCATTTCTCTATCCGCAGATCACATACATCTTTTTCATATATTCACAGTCATTTAAAAGTCTTTCAAACGCATACCGATTGGTTACACAATCAGATTAATAGTAGATGGCGTTTCATATTTTCCTCTTGCCTTTTTTTCTCACTGGGGCTTTTTTCTAATTGGAAGATTCACTGCGTGAAACCCTCTTACCTAAAACATCTCAAGAAGTAAAAACGTTTTCTTCGCTTTTGAAATTTTCCTCTTAAAATCTTATTTTGCCTCAGGATAGCTCAATTGCTGTTACTAATTCTGCTATTCTTATTGTGTGACACAAATAACAAAAATGTCGTGCATTTCGCAAGGCCATCATGAAGATTGGATGTGCCTTGGGCAAGGAAGCGTGCGGTTTGATGGAGATTGATTTGATTCCTTTTTGGCCTTCCATCCCTCCTTATTTTCTTCCCGATTGGGGACGAGTCAAAAGTAGACACACATAGGTCATGAATAATGTTTTTACCTTTGATGTTCCTTGGATAACAGGTTTATCCCACTGTGGTTCGTGCCTTGGCCTTGGGATGTTGCAGCGCAATGGCACGTATTGGAGCAATGGTGACGCCTTTTATATCACAGGTATGGCGTTTAAATTCATCGTAAGTAAGATGCTGAGATGCTCCTGCTCTATGACAGTCAGTTTTTCATCAGTGTTTGTCGAAACATTATCGTTATGTCAATACCTCAGCAATCTCAAGGAAAGTGCTACGGTTTCAAGGGCTTGTGAGAATTCAAGGTAAAAACTAAGCTGATTGTGTGAATTGGCCACCGTAAAGCGATTCTGAAGCTGTCGTTTCGAGCGTTAGCCCTTCGTTAAGGAGAATCGACACAGTTTCTGTACCAATTGCGGCCGTTTTGTAAAGGTCTCATTTGACACTAAGATGAACTCGCATGGTTCCAGGTTGTTTACGGCGACTCGGTTTTCAAATCAAAGTTGGCGGCGGAGATCCTTTAAACAACTATCTTGGCTTAAAATAATGAGGACACAAGTTACAATACTGATAAGTAAGAACGTGGATCTTGGCTTAATCATAATCACGTGTTCTTGTGTTGTAGGTGCTGCTTAGAGTTTCACTACGTTTGGCATTAGGTGTTTATGGTGTGACGTCATTGGTCTGTGTGGCATTCACTCTTATGTTACCGATTGAAACTACAGGAAGACCCATGGTGGTAAGTTTTTGAGCCGTTTTCCCGCTCTTTTTTGTTACTATGACTTATTTCTGAACCCCTCACAGACTGCTGAGTTAGTATGGTATTGACAAACTGGAAAATGAGTACAAAACGACGCAATTTTTTTGCAAGCCTGAAAAGCAATGCAAATGACGGAGGGTATTTTTCGACTGAGAACAACAAAGCAAGAGACACCTTGATTGAACTATCGTTTTCACACAAAAACATGTCTCAACTAAAACTTATAGAAAACATCAAAAGCGTCATCATCTGAAATACACGCCACCTTAAATTGATTGTTTTCACATTATTCAGGAACCAGCCTCTTGATCGCAAAGTTCTCTTAGCTAGTCTCTCTTTAACTCTTTACACCCCAGCATCAGTATGTATATTCTCTATACTGGTCTCTAGACATTTCCAAAGGTACTGACAAGGAGAATTTGTTTAATAATCGAGAGCTTCTTCAATGGGTGATCTTTCCTTTATTCTCGTGGTCTTGATGTTAAATTAAGGGGTGAAGCTTTTGAGGAGAAAGTAGATGCTATACCCTTTTGAGGTCAAAGAATTAAGTCTAAGAGTGAAACAAAAGAGATTTTAGTCATATGTCAGGACCACGTGTTCTTCTACAGATCTGTCTGCTCTTTTAAGTTGTCTGCGTCCATTCTTAATGTTACATTAAAGAGAGTACATATGACGAAGACATGAGGTCTCAATTGTTGTGCTCTTTCACTCTTTTCGCAGGAAACATTACATTGAAGGAATATTTGGGAAAATAGCCATTTTTTGTTTTGATTTGTTTTTTTACATATTTTTGTAATTGCCAAACCACGAAGTTCAAAGAAGGTCATAATTTTCTTTTATAATTATTGGGAAGAAAAAAAAAATAGGTTTGGTGATTTTCTTTCTGTGTTTCTCGTTATGAACTTTATTATTGTTATTAATGTATTTTTTGAGGAAGCCGTTACGTGCTTTTTGATACAATGTTGTAAGAAAGCTAAATTTACTTTCGAATGGTGCTTAAGAGAGCTTTGAATGAATTTCGGGAGAGGTGCAAAAAGACATGCATATAAAGTCAAAGTTCAATGTCAATTTCTCTCAGTTTTTTATACTTAAAGCACATATCTTGTATAGCAAAATTAAAATATTAAAGTATATTATCTTTCGCAACATTGTTAAGTTAAGTATTCAAAATGCAATTTGCCGGTAAGAAATAAAATTTTTTGTTTAAAAATGTTTGTGTGTTTTGCACGAAAGCCAGGCTCGTTCGAAAGCGTAACCGAACCTTTTTTCGTTCCCCCTTTTTTAGTGTGAAGGCGTCGTCCTCACAACTGTTAAACATTATAAAATAAAATATTAATCAAGAGCTGAATTTCAGCTAGGCTTTAAGCAGAGTGGTGAAGAGTCCCGCTGATTCGATTCAGACCACTTTAAAGCTGGAGGAAAAACTGTATGTGATGCCCAGCAGCAGTTACAGTGTGTTGAGGTAGATGTTCTTGAGTTGAGAATGTACCAGTAAGTACGTTCTTGTGATTGGTCGATTTAGCGGGCCGTATTTCACTGTACCACCCGCCAGATTCAAAAGATTGTTCGAATTCAAATCCCCTCTATTTTAACCCAGTGATGTGATGAATATCTTATCACATCACTTTGCCGGTCCATACTGTGAGTTACAGAACCGCATGTCTTCCGCTGGGATTTATCGCCAGCGCGCTACGCACATGGGCCATAAATCCGAGCTGAAATAAACTCAAGAATAAAGGGGGTAGTTTTCTAAAGAAACTGCGCTGTCGCGTCGTTGAGAGAGTATAACAGGGCAATTAAGTATTATCAACTGAGTTGGTATCGTAAATTTGCCTCCGTAAAGAGTTTCAAAGCAGACATTTCAAGCGTCAGCCCTTCATCATGGCGATAGTTCTAACGAAGAACTAAATAAATACAAGAAATTTTCTAAACAACAGACGAAACAGTGAACACAAGGGAAAGCATGTCACTGCAACAGTGCAACATATGTATCATATGCAAGTGTCAAACTCATCTCAGTAAAGATGCACAATTTGACGTTTTCTCTTAAGAAATTGTTCAAGAATTGCGTGTAGCATACGTGTAGACGTCCCTTCCCCCGAGGTGAAACAGAAGCAGAATAGTCCATTTTACAGTCGCGTGCTTGGCTGCCAAGCCTTTGAACAGGAGTAAGGCTAAGGGTGACCTTGTTATGATAAACCTTGCAGCTCTCCAAATGTAAATGACTTTGTTATCATGCTAACTAGATACTGATCTCTATCACAACAAGTACACAACTGTAAAATGGCCCATTGATACGACATACCTATAGCTGGCCAGCGGTAAACTTCCTGACAGTTCATTCTTAAACTTGAGCGATTAACAAATAATACCTTTCAAATGCCATCTAGACCACTGTTGTACCATAAGAGGAACGTTAAATCACTCGTTTACATCACAGCTTACTCAACATTCCACAATTACTTCCAAGATGTATGTTGTTAAGCCAGGTTTGGCTCGCACTTCAGACTGCTACCACTATGCATATGTCAACTTTGATAACCCTTAGAAATGGACGCATTTCACTTATCTGCCCAAAATTTATTTCTGATGTAAAAGTATGACATGATTGATAAGAGATGAGTAATATTCCAAGTCAAGAACTGACAGTGGATGGGTTTTTTTTGGCAGAGAAGCTGCTTGTTTATGCTTCTTAAAGTATTCCATTACAAAGCACCATCATAGTGCAAATACTTACAAATCATACGAGAGTGTGTGGAAGGAGATTCTTTTAGCTTGCACTACCTCTTAAAACTGGATTAAGGTAGGTCTCATCTCCAAAACTATTTCTATACACATTGCTTTTAAGATCCTAACCTACCACAACTCAGATGAAATGATGGCTTTCTAATGGTGGGAGACAAGACATAACTTACAACCATTGCCTATCACTTAACCCTCTAACTCCCATGAGTGACGAGGAGAAAATTTCCCTTACAATAGCAAAACAATACTATACAGACAACTGATGAGAATAAAGAAAAAATATCCATCAGAGGACCAGTAGTTGATCCAACACCAAATTCTCTACGCAAACATTATAATTGTATGCCCAAAAAGGAGCACAACCAATGAGATTTTGGGAGTGAAAGGGTTAAAGTAACCTGCACACTGACAATGTTGTTACCGAGTATATGAAATGACAAGAACAGACATGAAAAAAGATTTCTTCCTGTTTTCTTACAGACAACTCCCTAAATTCAGCTCCTGTTTGGAGCCAGTTATCAATGACCAACTTTGTACAATGTTGCTGAAAAACAACCTAGTATTTCTAAATATACGTCTTTCTTTATCCTAAAGGTGGCATAACTTAAGTTAGGCGTACTTGTAAATATTTTTAAAATAGTCATTATTTTTGTCATTATTTTCTATAGAAATAGTCTCTACATTTCAGTCTTCAACTTGGGTCCAGTCCTCCCCCAGGAGGAGTAGCATCAGGTGTGTGCCTCTGAAATTATGATGAAAGAAGCAACAAAATCACTGAAAATCTTACAAAACTTTCACTTGTTGTTGTAAAGAACAACAAATTATTACAACCAAGACCGGACATGCACATGAAATGAGACCACTTAACAGGGTAAGGTGCAAATGCCATCCTTCGGATTGTTACAGCTTTGAAGCTTCCTTTTATAATTATTCAATAAATTGCTATATGGTTGTTACAAATTTTTTTTTCTCCATAATATTTCATCATTAATTTTGTTACAAAAACAGCAAACCTGAAGACATTATTATTTTAAAAAAATCACAACACAATAATTCCAATTTTTTCAATGCAGTGCATAAATTTTTCTACAATGTGGTTAATATTTCACAGATTATTTATAGCACAACAAGCTTTTTCAACTTTGAGTACAAAGCAAGTTTGCTGAAATGTCTCTAAAGGTAAAAATGCACAAACAAATGACATAATAGGCAGACCATGATGCCATCATGATAAATGCTACCATTTAAAAGAGATGGGATTTATCAGACAGTGATGCATTCTCCCCAACACATTTCTTATCATGGACCACACTGAATGTGAAATAGAGAGATACCTTTTTCTTTTTCTTTTCCTTCTTTTTCTTTTTCCGTTCACCATCATCATGCTTTTTCTAATAGGAAAACAAACACAACAGATAAGGCATGTTGTATAAGGAATGCACAACATTTTTTTTTCCATATCTTCAAAATAACATCAGGACATACACCAGGGCATGAAATTGTACCTAATACAGGCGCCAATGCGACTAAATTTTTCACTTTGGCGACCAAATCCCGAAAATTAGTCGCCAAATTGGCGACTAGAATGTTTCATCATAACCTTACCTAGAGATATAGTGAATTAAAAAGATTTGCAAAGACAAATCCGCGGCAAACTTCCTCGTTAAGTTTGTTTCCAAAACGCAGCAGATGCATCTCAATCGATAACTAGACACCATCTTGGATTTAGGTGAACTTAAACATTGTATATCATCCATCCTAGTGTCCCCTTTGTAGCACGTTAAAGATCTTTTCCCTAACTTAATTTCTAGAACAATGACAGCGTAAAAAAAGGTTTTGTTTGCCTTTCAAAATGGCGACCAACTTTTTTTGAATTGGTGACCACTTTGATGAATTTAGGAGCCAAGTGGCTATCAGAAAAAAAAATTAATTTCATGCCCTGTACACACTATGATAATCTTATGAATACAAATAGTAAATAAACCATGAATTACAATAGCTCAAAATCAAGGTTTTCTTAATCTAGTCATCTTCACAAACCTGTTTCTTGTGTTTTTTGGAGTCATGTGCACCCTCAGGTTTATCTATGAACAAACATTCCACAACAAATTGGCATGGTAACTTTAAATTGATGTAAGTTTTTTTTCTTGTCCCTCCCTGTCTTCCTTATATTACTCAAACAAATTGATAACAGGTGCTTTTTTATCACAAGAGAGACATTATAGAGAGAAAAAATAAGAGAGCTTGCAAATCTGCTGCCAGCTCATCCACCAGTGATATTTTAAGTAAAAATAAACTTTCTCATCAACTGTATTGAACAGGAATGAAGGATCTTCTCTGGTTATGGCTGAACAAGGGCTGGGCTGAGTGGGTGGATTGATGTTAGAAGCCCAAGGATATAGAGTTAATGGGTAATCATACGCTCTCAGAGAAAGACATACGAAAGCAAGGATCCAGCAATGATATACATTGTGGTAAATCACAGCTGAAATTTCATAGCCATGTACAATATCATCTACTGAAAAAGAAAAAAAAAAGGTGTAAAGGGGAAACTGAAACACTTAGGTTGAGACTGAAGCTGGTTGAAGTCATCCAAGAACCAAAATTTGAAACCCTCTTGCACTAGACACCCCTCTACATCATCTATCTCTTTACATGTTCCCCAATTCATCTACTACATGGACTACACAACTCATGAATATGAGTAAAACAAAACTGACAATTCTACATACCAGTAGAGGAGGATGCTAGCTTTTCTTGCTCTTGACCTGACTGACTGACTGCTTCACCTCCTTCCTTATTTCGCTCATTATCTTGGCTTTTGTGCTTCTTATGTTTGTGTTTTTTCTTCACTGGATGCTGACTCATGAAACGAAACTGTTCTGGAATCTGGAATATGCAGAATATATATAAATTATCTCTCTGCATGACAAGTTTTGAAACATCCATGATTCTGAGCCAAAGTTTCTGATACAAACTACACTTGTAGTTTTTCACTTCACTCTTCAACCAGTGCAACTGTGACAATACTGTATCTCTGCAGCAATATTAACAGTTATGAAATTACTAGTTAACTGAATTGATATTACAGTCAGTAATTTCTTCATCTAACACTTGACACCAATTAAATGCCAACCTCATATAAGTGCTTCTAGGGGTGTTTAATTGCAGCCCTGAAGTTTCATCAACTTCTCAAGTTCACAAGTACCTAAATTCTATTGAATAGCAAAGCTAGAATATGCTGCTGATTTGATAAATTTTGATTTTAAACACATACATACACATGTTCACAAGAAAAGTCTATTTCTTGGAGACTATTTTTTTCTACTAGATGAAGGGGGGAATATTAAGGGTAACAAAAAAATACCTGATTAAAACAGAGAAAAATTATAACAATCCTCACATTAAGTTTACCTTGCCAATTTGAAATCAACAATAGGGGCATTTCATTGAGAAAATACCACAGTTGCACTATTGTCTTTGAGCTGAAAATGGTGTCCAGGAAAACAATCTACTCTAAGTTGCCCATTAACAATAGCAGTTACTAAAGGCTTTAAAGGGAAACTGCTGAAAAACTGGCATTTTCATGCAAATGCTTGTAAGCTGAATCATACGATACTTACCGGACCAGGATTTAAGCGAAATCCAGACAAGGAATGCCCAGTTAAAGGAAGGAGCTCCTTTCCACCAATGGGAGGCTTGTCTACCACTGAACGAAGACTAGGAAAGAAAATGAAACATTTTGAATGGTAATCAGTGAACTCTTTCAAATTCCTTTCTGATCATTTCATTGATAAGTTTGTTTCTTTGGCAGACCTAAGGAGCAATTCTTGTAAATTTTAAATCAGAACAAATTATTTTTCTATACTAATGAACAGTGAAAGAGTAAGAGGGAAACAAATTACCTATTGTCTGGTCCTCCTAGTTCATCAAGAACACCTGATATAAATAAACAAAATGAAACCAGAAGTTAGTAATTAGTATAATACATGCTTATCTGTCCTTTCTTTCTAACATATGGTAATTTCATCTTGAAGATGATATTACTGTTCTAAAGATATAATCTTCTCTTAATTTCACAAGTGAGTACTGTATACACATTGACACAAAGTAATAATAATAATAATAATAATAATAATAATAACAATAATGGTTTAATATCAGTACATCCATGGTATGGCTCTTTGCCTGATATAAAATAAAAATAAAAAATAAATAATAAATAAAAATACATAAATCTGAATTATGAATTTGTAAAAAGCTAGGTAATAAACAGTAAAATGTAATTATACAATATATACATGATTTAAAACTTGGCAAGAAATTATTCTGCCCTATTCTAGCAGCACTCCCTTGAGTGGCTTCTTTGAAATTGCCAAACACACTCTACAACCAAATAGTGAGCTTCAAAACTTCAGATCAAATCACCTAGTATCAATCCACAACTGGGTCACTGTGTTGGGCAAAATACATGACTCTCTCACACCTGACCCAGGACATACCCCTGACCAAATGCTGAAGGGGATGGGGGGGAGGGTCAGTATCCCTTTTATGGACAGACATCCAGTCTAAGTGGATAATACCCTAATTGCTTCATTTTACTGAAACCGGGATAAACTACAGAGATTCCTACCGAGATAAGCCTTTCATCAGCACTTGGGATAAATAGAATAACACCTATGCAAAGGGTAATGTGTCTTGCTATAAATACACAGGTAAGCAATACAGACTTCTTTAAATTTTGAGTAACTTTTCTCAACAAGGACATCTTCTTCTGCAGTTTTGACAGCAATTGCTTGTGGCTATCATTTTCTCAAAGAGTTAAAAAAGGGATGGAGAAGGGGGGTGTTAAACTCTGTCATTCCACAGGTTAATAGTGAGATAGCTAAGCAAGGTTCAAAATGGCAGTGTGGTAGTCAGATCTTCAACACAGAGGAAGAGGAGAGATGTGGTTTCTGGAGCACGCTTCATCCTAGTTAAACAAGCTAAACTTGTCCAATATCCGGCCACCTTGACCTCACACTTAATCAACAACACATTTATATTGCTTCACAGCTAGTGCCTATAGAAGAATACATTCCGAGTGCTCAATTGTCTGTACTCTTTTACTTCCAGTGGTGCTGTCTGCAGAAAGGGGAGTGTGACATAGGGTCAAATATGATCGAACAGGAATATTGTCAGATATTTTGAAAACAAGATCATCTGTTTAAGAATCTTGTCTGCGTGGACTATTTGATTATAACATTTTTTCCGTCTCTACATTCATTTTAAAAAGTAAGAGTTCATATTTTCCTCCCTGTTAAAATTCTTTCGCGATTCTTGAACTATATTACGGATCTCGGAATTGTCAGTTTCATGAAGTATACCTCTCAAACATGTTGCTTATCGATACGCAAATGGTAAATACGTTGGCGTGTTTTCAGTAATGTGCCATTTCAAATTAGCAAGGTTTTGGTTTAAAATCACTCGAAATAATTAATGATACATTTGCACGTACAGTTGTATTATACAATAGGAAGCCTTACCAGGCAAATGCGGTAAAAACGAACTCAATCCTTCTTTGACTTTTTTGCTCTTCTGATACGTCTGGTCAAAGCCATGTTTTACCAAAAGGTTGCTATTTGCTTCTGAAGGAGTCACTGCAAAAGAAAAAAAAACGAGCTGAAAGATCGGTAAATAAGCGTCAGGAAAGACACAGCCACAAATGAAAAAATAAATTCGTTAACTCACGAGTATCTTCCCGTAACAGATAAAACGGTGACATTTGTGTTGACGGAGTCGGGGTGGAAGTTGTCGAAACCATTGTTGCTCGATAATTTACGCTGGTTGGTTCCGGATAGTTCCCAAACGGCGAAGTTACGCTGAAGCTAGCACTCGCTCTCGAAGCGCTTCTCACATTGTTTAAGGCGAGACTTTGAAAGGAGCTTTGTCTTCCTGGGTCTAGATGTTGTTGTCGTGAATTAAGGCTTTCCATTTGCCTCTTCTCGCCGCCATTAGAAGACTAGGTTTCCCGTGAGTCACTGCGAACGTTGATTAGAACAACACGCGAGGTTTGTCTACGCGAGTCACACGAGATGCGTGTCATTTTCGCGCGAAATTTATTTCAAATTAACACGGTCGAATAAACTCTAATTTCACCTTCGCCATATGTGACGGTCTACTGTATATTCCTCTATTTTTTTTTTTACCTAATTTCCCTCATATTTCTGTCGAAAGTGGATTAAAATATGACCACAAATATGACCAACCTCTCAACGTCCGGAAGAAATCAGATTCTTCGGAGTCTGGAAACGAAATTAGACTGTCTATAAACTATTCAATTGGTAATTTTGCGCGTTCCTCAACCATCCAATGATTAATTATTCTTGTCAGGTTTCTTGAGTATTTCGCGAAGAGGAAGGATGAATTCTAGCACTAGAGCGAATCGTGGAAGCAAAGTTATTTCTGAAGCACTGAAAGGTATTTTTCAACGCTTGTACCTTTTAATGGTGACTGTCATTGAAATTTTTTATCTTTGACATCTCCCGATTCGAATGTAAAGTTTAAAAATTCTTCCAAGATGTGAATTACCTCAGTTAAACTTATGTTTTGTTTATGTTCTGCAACTCTTTGGCCTGCGGACGATGCAATCTTCCCACAAAGAGCCGGTAAGATCTAATTTTCTTTTGCTAAACGTCAAAATACGTATCCCGCCTGCTTTTAAACTACTGCTCTAAGGTCCGGCCAACACAGCGCGCTCTTCATGTGACGAGTTAAGCTAATAATTACCCCTCCCTTTTACTAACAAATCCAACAATCTTATTAATAATTGAGCATTGTACTTTAAGTACTCGGAAAACAGAAATGCTTAATTCGTATCTCCGTTCGTGATGTTTAGCCAAATTTATTTTTCTAGCCGGATCGCGTGTTTGTAACACCTTAATTCCACATAAGATATCACTTATCGAGCCGAAATTTTAACATCTGTTCGCGTAGTTCTTAAAATGCGCTGGTTATTCAAAGGTTCAATTTATTAGTGTTGTTATTTTTTGAAATATTCATCTATTTATAACATATCGGTCAATACTCTGAATCAACATAGGGATATAATTTGAATTTTAGATGTCGCTATTCGATAACTTTAGCACTATTACATCCGTTTCGGCGGCGACCAATGTACCTTGCGGTCAAATGTCAATATGTCTAAATTTTTCATAGTATTTACCGCTTCGGAAAGTCTCTCTTGATTCAACGTCGAGACTTAAAGTCAGATACCCCTTAACAAATTTAGAACTGAATAATAAGATTAATCTTAAGACCTTGAGCCTTTACAGCTGCTCAGCTAACGTTAAAACTTGTACCCTAGTACGAGGAGGCGCCTAGGTGGTACGTATACTCCTCCTAATTCTGTAGACTAGGCTTGACTCGTCAAGGTGATGATGTGGTGAGGTTTGTCACTTCACAGATAATTTGAGACAGGGAGAATGCTTTTTCATACAAATCTCAGTCTATTCCTTGACAAGGATTATGAAACAAAAAGACTCATCCTTGTGATGAACATTATGTCATTGTTTAGACAGGCTGATGCCAGCTAAACATATGCAACATCTCCCTTCTCGTTCTTTACCCTCTGAAACGGTAGATGACTCTCTTATCAACATTTGATTGGGCATGGCTATAGTGCAGAAATGGGTGCTTGCTAAGGGCTTCAAAAGAAACAAATTGGAAAATGAAAAATAAATTTTGAAATCTGGTAACTAATTTCTATGTTTTAAATTCATGATTCCTTACTCCAAAAGCAGCCCATTTGGAGGCTAGTTGATGCTATTGGTTCTACAGGCTCCAGATAAAATTTACTTCACACAATTTACATGTTTGAGTGTATTTTTCAGGAACCTGGTTATGTCGGATTTGCAAATCTCCCCAATCAAGTCCACCGCAAATCTGTGAAAAAAGGCTTTGAGTTCACCCTTATGGTTGTTGGTGAGTTATTTCTTATATCTAGTAGTAGTTGTACTATAGAAGCCATTTAAACAAAGTTGGGAAATTTTTTTGGCAGTTGTCTATAAATTTTTAACATCACCATTGGTTTTTCTTAACCCAGATTTACCTTTCTCTCTTAAAGAAAATTAATTTTGTTATGAAGTAAATGGAACATTTTTGCAGCAATGTTAGTGATAATTAGTAACACAATGGCTACTGTATGAACATACATCTGATTATTACACTTAAAATTATTTGAATACCTAAAAGTTATTATTTGTCATTTCCTTATTACATATTGTTGTAAGTTGTGTGGCCTGTGAACAGGTTCTCCTCAAAGAGAACAAAAATTGCCACAGCATTTGGGAACTTAACCATACTGAAAGAGATGCAGTAGTCCTTTCCCATTTTAGAAGTTCTGCAGTTCATTTGCTTGCTGCTTCCTCTGGCAATCTTCCAAGGTTTGCCTTTCCCTCACATCTAGAAAGGGAAATCTTGCTCACTCTTTATGAGATGGCTGACAGTCAGTTATGCACTATAATCAACAAGAGGGGCAAAAGGATTCCACTGTGAAAGAGATAGGGATTGTAAACCCAGGTTTCACTCCCACTATCTCAGTTTTATGATATTAGTTCATATAATTTATTATTGCATCAACTAATGATCCTTTAATTCATTCTTTTTGTTCTTATTGCTTGCCTACTTCATCAATATACTATTGATATTGCAAAGAGAAATTCTGCCTTGGTCACTCATGAGAGTTAGATGGTTAAAGCTCCCTGTAAAGGAATCAGATTGCTGTTGTCTTAAAAATGTCCAGCATAAGTTGTCTTGGAATGGTTTATCCAATTGTTGGCAAACTTGCTTGACTCCTGCTATCTTTGTTACTCCATTCAGGTGAATCTGGTTTGGGAAAGTCAACTCTTGTGGATAGCTTGTTTTTGACAGACTTGTATGATGATACTGCCATTCCAAGAGTAGTTGGTGAGTTCATGTAATTGTTCTATGCATCCTTTTGATAGAAACATAGATTAAAAGTTCTAATACTGTAGTTTCTCTCTTAACAAGAGTAATCAATTTATTTGACTGAAGGAAGACTTTCATGCAAGAAGGGTGCATTGCTCTCAAGGCCATATATTTTTTTAAAGTATTGAACAAATTAATTCACTCATAACAAAACACTAATTCAGAAGAAATCAGAGACACAAAGACATAGATTTTACACCTTGTCTTAGTTCTTGAATTGGGGTGTGCTGTGGCATAACAGAACTGCACCCTGAGAGGCTTGGGTTTGAGACTTGACCAGGTCATTTTGTTGATTTCTTGGCACTATGCCCCTCTTCACCTAGGAGTTATAAATGGGTCCAGGTGACACACTCAGCTATACCTTGTATACCTCCTTGTTGTTTTTTCCAAATTTCAATGTTGTCTGTGATCTTTTACTGGAAAGACCCACAGCAACATGGAATCTATTTGTTCTAGATATATGATAAAAAAGCAAAATGCTGTTGATGGTGAAGTACGTATGTATCTGTCCTCTAATAGATCCATCATTTGTTAAATGGATTATAATCTTTTTATTTGATGCATGAATGTTTTATTAGCTTAGAGTTCACAGATCAGCCAGTAAGCAAAGCCAATGATTTTTGTTTCATAGATCGTATACATCAGACAGTTGAAATTGAAACTAATACTGTAGAAATTGAAGAAAAAGGCATCCGCTTAAGATTAACAGTGGTTGATACTCCTGGATTTGCTGATGCTGTTGATAACACTGACTGGTAAGACACTGATTGACAAAGAGAAAGATAGAAATAGCCATTTTGAAATTTGATTTAGCATCACTCAGACAAACAAGACAAGCCCTTCAGCAATGTGCTCTGAGGTTTTTCTGCACAGCTCAGCTCAGCTCAACACAACGCAGCTCTCCTAAATCCCTGATAAATTTCCTGTTCCCTAACAAAAATTAATTGAATTTATAATTTCATATTAAGTAAAACCTTTAACTCCTATGGATGTTCAAGACAGAATTTTCTCCTAAAAATATCAAGCAGACAAGTGACAAGAATAAAGAAAAATGTAAATTAGGGGTTATTAGTTGATCCAATACCAAAAGAATTGTATGGCAGACAGTTGAGGGGCTGGTAGTGAGATCTTTGTGGTGAAAGGGTTAATATAACTCTGTTCAACTGTTAGTTACATTTAAGTGTTCTTTTTCCATATTAGCTGGCAAGCTGTAACAAATTATGTTGATCAACAATATGAAGCATACTTACAAGATGAATCAGGACTCAATCGCAGACACATAGTGGACAACAGGGTTCATTGCTGTCTTTACTTTATTTGTCCCCATGGCCATGGGTTAGTGATTTATAATCATTTAATTTATTTACTGTAAAGGCTCATTAATTGTCAATAAGATTTACTTCACTGGGTTGCCTGTTTTGACAGGTCAGCATCACACAATCAAAAAGAGCCAGGGATGTGTTAGCTCAGTGATTTGGAAACTAGATGAAATTTTTCTTTTTACACAGTGTTAACTGCCTTTTTTGTAGAAGTATGTGACAATGTTTGAGATCCCATATGTTTTAGGGGTTTGGAGATTCTTAAAGATGTGAGAATAATCTTTTTCATATCTTTAAGGATTACTGGTTCATGGGGTTGAAATGCCTGATTACTAAGTTATCAAATGAATGTATAATCCAATTAAGCAATTATCTTTTAATAATTAATTATCTTTTGATGTAGGTTAAAACCCATAGACATTGCTTTCATGAAGATGCTGCATACCAAAGTAAACATTGTTCCAGTTATTGCGAAGGCTGATTGTTTAACAAAGTTTGAAGTACAGCGACTGAAAAGAAAGGTTAGTGGTATGAATCAATATGTTTTACTTAATAAACAGCATCACACGCACACACACACAGAGTTTGATTGGTTCTTACCTAAGATCTGTGGGAGAACAGATGCAAAGATGACATCACCATGAACAATTGTTTTGCTTTTAATTTATCATATAAAACAAATAGACTCTATATTGTTGTCGGTCTGTTCAGTTTGATGGGCCTTGTGTGCCACTATTGTGCTCTTACCACATTTTGATGTCATCTGTTATCTATTACTTAGCAGATGCATGGCAACATGGAATCTTATTGTTAGGTGATCAGAGAAAGAAATGGTTTTTTTTTTGTTTTGTTTTGGTTTTTTTTTTTTTTTTTTGATGTTAAGGTCTCCTTCTACTGACTTAAAAGAGATGACTTCCCTGTGGATTGTTACCAATGAATGGTAGCCAAGAGATGAATTAAGTTTTCTATTCAATCTCAAATTTAGTTTCAATTAATTCATTTCAATGTTTTAATTCTGTTAGATATTAGAGGAGATTGATGACAATGGTATTAAAATTTACACTTTCCCTGAATGTGATAGTGAAGATGATGAAGAATTTGTCCAAATCAACCAAGAACTCAAGGTTAGTGCAAATATGTGTTAATGATGCACAGTTCCTCCCAAAAACATAAACATAACACTGAACTTCAACCAGACGAGGCTTAAGGCCAGGGCCCAGTTGTTCAAAAGGGCAGATAACACTATCCAGTGTATAAGTGTTAACAAAACAAAGTGTGCCATCCACTGGGTAGAGATTCATTTAGTGGATAGCATTATCCACCCTTGGACAATGGGGGCCAGCTCATTTATAACCAGGCCTCAAATGCATTGTTTTAAGTAGGCTTTAACCTATAATTAAAAAATAATTGAGTTTACCATGCTTAGGCTTTTAATGAGAGAATGTAAAATGTTTATTCCATGTATAGACGATGTTTCACCAAACTACAAGAAACACTGAAGAATGAGCGGTGTTTCTAATACGGTCTTCAATGCAAAAACGTACAGTGTTTCAGGGACTGATCTTATTAAACAGCGATTCAGAGGGGGCCCAAAAGCGTGCATTGCGGGGGAAGGGGTAAAGTTCTAATGCATTCAACCTTTTACTGCAGGGTAGCATTCCTTTTGCTGTGATTGGTAGTAACAACGTAACAGATGTGAGAGGAAAGCAAGTACGAGTCAGGCAATATCCTTGGGGAATGGCAGAAGGTAATTAATTCTAACTAAAGCAGAGGTACTCCTTTTTACCGGGGCCAACTGTGGAGCATGAAAATTTGGTAATAATAGAGGGATGGTTGGATGAACGAGATAACGTGAATGGCTGACTCTGAATTCCAACGGTTCAAAAACTGAATTAATAATATACATGAAGAAATTACGCGCGTCTGATTGGCTGATGTTGTTACCTATACTGATTGATTGTAGTAATAGATTGCAAATCCAAGAAGAGAATGCTTGAAGCGCTGTGTGTTGTAGAAAAACAGAGAGAATGTTAACCCTTTAACTCCCAGAAGTGACTAAAATGTAACTTCTTCCTATAATTTCCACATTATTTTTAGCAAACGGTTAATGAGAATACTCAGACTTATCAGGTAAAAGTTGTCATCTTGATCTTTCACCAAATTCTCGCAACTAATTGACAAGGAATTGTGTAGCAGCAAGAGAGGAGAATTAACAATCAACGCCTCCTGTTAGTATTTCTTATTAACACTGTTAAACTATTGTTGTCTTAGACATGGTTTCATGCTACTCTAGTTTAAAAATTTAATCAATGGAACCGAGAAGTTACAATTCATAGACCTATATGTGGATATATAGGGCTATGAATTGTAACTTCTTGGTTACATTCATTAAATCGTTAAACCAGAGTAGCATCAAACCATGTCTGATTGTCCACTTGGTTGCCTTGTGAACTTTAATATATATTGTTGTCTTAATTTGCAGTCGAAAACCCCGAACATTGTGACTTCATAAAGCTTAGAAACATGCTTATACGGTTAGTCGTTTTTTTTTTCCTGTCGCATCACACTACTTTATTGACTTTTCAACAAAACTTCTCAAAACCTTTTTAGCGAAAGTTAAGTGAATTTTATAAACGATGCAGCTCTCGTTGGACAAGTACAATGTCTGACCGTCTGTGTTTTGAGGTCTTTGTAGGACGCATATGCAGGACTTGAAAGATGTCACACAAGAAGTTCATTACGAAAATTACAGAGCAGAAAGACTGTCGAACCAGGGGGAACCTTCCAGTCCACGAAAAACAATAGAAGGAATGTAAGTTAACCACCTCCTTCCACCATAACATGCGCAGTTCGATCTCTACCCTCTCCGTCATTTCTCAGCAAATGTGGGGTTTACAATCAAACGGGAGCAACTTTGCGTGGGGGAAGAAGAGGAGAAGAATTAAGGGAAATTATGAAATGAAACAAAGGAAGGATGAAAAAGTGGTCGAATGCAGAACTTAAGAGGGAGAAAAGGCCTAAACTTTTTAAAGGAAGGATTAAAGTTTTAAAAAGGGCATTACTTTGAAAGATTCTTTGCTGATTTTTTTGGCAAACTTAAGCTGCATGCTGTGGTTGTTTTCGAAATAGGAACTTAGATTCAAGAATGTAAACGAAGGTTACTATCATCCAGTGTGGCGTAAGACTACATGGTTTATGGTTCATCGTTTTACGGAGGGTATTTACGGGGAATTTCCAACGGTTGCGTTGTTTCTCGTTTGAAGTCTACAGTGAGAACTGTGGTTGTATAAATTTCACCGCGAGAAAGCAATAGTACCCATCAGAAAATAAAGAAGAACTGCACTCCCCGGCGATGAAATACAAATTCCGCTTTCGAGAGCCCTGACCACCACGGGAAAGCCTCGCATCGTAACGAGTGCGCAAATCCACTGTTTAACGTGTGAACGCGAGCTGCGTGAGTGATGTGTGTGAAGTGTGGAGTTGAGCGTGGCAAGGGTGCACCGTGCCATACTGAGGAATGATATTAGAGTGAGGGAGATAGGATACAGAGTGGCCCATCCTTCTTTCCTTTTATGATATTGCAATGCACTCAAAAAGCTTACCATGGACACTGTTTTTCTTTATTGCAGGAAACGAAAAAGTGGAAATTTCGATTTGGATGACGTGGATACGGCAGAAATCTCAGAGAAGGACCGAATGTTAAGGGAAAAAGAAGCAGAGGTATTATATATAACTGGAATCGTAACAGACGTGCTCACCACACTTTTGAAATAATGACCGTGACATCGATCGGTGTACACCAGTGTGCCTAACTTACGCACATGTTTTTATCTATGGACAAAGCGACCGCACGGGTATGCCTTGGGGTTCTAGAGTGCTTTTAACCCCCACCCCCACCCCTCCCCAACACAATCATACAATCTTTTGATTGATCTTTTTTTTTTTTTTTTTGTAAAACAACCAGGCATACGCCCTCATTCGCCAACGCTAAGACCCTCAGTAAGACACCCTTGTGGGAAAATTCTTCTAGTTCCCCCATTGTTTGTGATACAGTTTTGACTTCAAATGTGTTTCTTGTGTGTGTTTTGAGATAAGTAAATGTTTTTTTTTCAGTTGAGGCGAATGCAAGAGATGATAGCTAACATGCAGAAACAGATGGCTAAACAAAAAGGAGCTGCACTCGACGAAAAGCTCTGAATTCGCAAAGATGTGTCTAGAATTTCTGTAAAACTTGTAGAATTTCTGTCACTCTCTGCCGGTTAGTTCTTATTTATAGCACTTGTATACTGTTATCACACAACGGTGTTGAGTTCTTCATCTGAGGGCCTCTTCATATGAACCCGGTTGACCAGGCTGGCCCGGTTTCCGAGATCTCGCCTTACCTCTAAATCCTTTGTAAAATTTTCTATGTGTTCATATGAGAGGGCGTCCTGGCTCGGTTACCGAGACTTCTGTTTTTCCAACCGGGATCTCGGTAAGGGGGCTGGAAAATTTTGCCATATGAACACTTCATCCCGGTTACCGGGATGAATTATTCGCAATAGCGCATGCGTTAAATGGTCGATGACGAAGCAGCGCACTTTCATCACACAACAAGGCGGCCCGAATGGCATCGTTTTACTTTGCCTGATGAATTTTCCATATCATTACCAGCCCGTTTAACTGCAGTGATACTGCTAAAAGGGTTACCAAAGCCATGATAGGCGTAAAAGTAATATGTCGGTTGCATTTCTCCATCTTTGTTTTGTGTTTCTAATTTCGCGCCAAATCTCGTCCCCAGGATCTTCGGCCTTTTCTCATCTGGGAAACCGGGCTGAATTTTCTCATATGAACCCAAGACGAAATTCGTCCTGGTAAGCAGGCCATTTCGGTCAACCGCGCTCATATGAAGAGGCCCTCAGAGTGGTGTTTTCACGTAAGCTTCTCGTGGAGAGTATTGCGTGATGGGTTTGGCAACGTGACAATCAAGTAACGTAATATAACAAAAAAGGATAGTTTTCAAGTCGATATATGACAATTAACGGAAGTAGAACTAAAGCATTGGCAGGCGCATTAAGCGACATGTCATTCACAGTGGAGAATAACAATTCTTTTTCACGATTAACTACAGTTAGAATAATTTTCTTTGTAAATTCAAGCCATAGTAAATTTTATATTACCACCGTTGCGAAATGTGCAGTGTGTTCGATATGTGTTAGGTATTATTTTAATTTGCTTCCTTCATGTTTGTAACCTACTGTTTTGAAAGTGATAATCTAGCTCAACGCTCCAAGACCCACTTCAAACCTTTAGTTTATACTTCACTCTTTTGTGTATGTTTAGAGTTTATCTGGTTTGGAAAGGAGATCCCTCTGTCTTTCAAAAGACTACAATCATTGATATGGCTATTGAATATGGCCCACGGATTTATGGATGGCATTCATAACGAAATCTGGATCAATATCAGTATCTGGGCAACTGCCCACCTACCCCTCCCCTAACCCAACAATAGTCAATTGATGACAAGTTAGGGTTAATGTTGGGTTAGGGGAGGGGTAGGTGGGTAGTTGCCCAGATATTGATATTGATCCAGAAAACCTGTACTTTTACGCGAAAAAAACAATTCAGCGTAATTTGAAGATAGGCTTCGGTAAATTTCAACTGCATGAGCCATGATATTGGAGGTTGGAGTATTTTCGAGAAAGCAGAATCAGTAGTTGGGTTCGTCTAAGGGTTGCTAAGTAAGTAAGAGAAGGAAACCGCAAATAAAATTAATTATGAACCTGGTCATGATGAGTCATAATTTGAGCAAATTTTACGTGCAAATGACTTGCAACTTTTCTCTATGGCATTTTTTACATTCGGTGGAAAGTGGGACAGCCTGCATGACAGACGTGCCTCTAGTTGTGGCTTAAAGCTGGCGCCATCGTCTCCCGTATCATCGGCAAAGGAAGCCGGCGAACCTGGACTACACCAACACGCCTGAATTATGTAAAACACTTTGACTCCAGCCGAAAAAAGGAAAATCAGATTTGTAGTGGAGTTGTTAACCAAGAGTCATCAAATGGCGGACTAATTGGCAAATGTGGCGTTAATGTCGTGATGAACATTGTACCAAAAGAATTAGAGATCGTCTTTCTTCGTTTGGTACTACTTACATGTTTTAAGTTCTCCTGTAACAAGATCCAGGATGTTTGTTTTTAAAAAATCTTACTGAGCGAGGCATTGGGGTCAACTGGTAACCGCAAAACCGCATTAAATTCTCACCGCCTTTCTCCTCTTCGCATAGAAACGCGACGCAATCGACAATTGCTTTGTGTGGTCCTTGAGCTTCTTCTGTTGCTGGCACGTGAGGCAAGTTGGAAGCCATAGTTCGCAAACTGATCGACGTAAGTGTTCCACATTGCAAGGTTGAAGTCTCTGGCGTTATTCGAGACGCATGCCCTCCAACGTAAAACTGATCTAAAAAATAGCCAAAACCGCAAAACCGAAAATCCCAATACCCCCTCCTCACTTGAACCACACAGTCCTGTGGTAAAGAAGTAAATACTTAACCTAATTTTCATGGCTAAAACTCTTGCTGTAACGAGTTGATGTGAATCTTTGGCGTCAGTGAAGACGTAGAGTGATGAACCCTCTTTAACTTCGCCATTGAGGGCACCTATTATTCCCTTGAAGGTCAACTATAGACAGTCTCCCTCTTCACTCGGTTTAAAACTTTCGATTGCTGCTAGATAATCTTTTCCTTTTCCGGCCGGCATCTGGTTTCCAAGAAGGAACAAACCTACAAAAAAATTTCAAAAACAATCCAAAGTGCATGTATAAATGAATTACTGACGGTTCCAGCTTGTTATGATCAGGGAGGATAGGAGGGTGAACCTTCCTTAGGTCAGAGAAATACTCTCTAAGATGTCCTTAATAATTTTTAAAATGTTGTATAAAATGTTGTATTTTCCAGATATATATCACCTCAATATTTCATTGACATCTCAGCATATAATACTAAGATTTATTTCCATACTGGGGTCGTGAAAGGCGTGAGCAAAGATACTATTTCTTTGTTTTTACCTCCGAGTGTTGATGATATACTTTGCCTGAACCTTTCCAGTTGGATGAATTCGAAAGTGACTCGGACAGCGACTCTAACGAAGCAGAATCAGAAGAGATTGTGGAAGAATCTCACAAAAAGATCGGGGAGACAGATAAAAGCATCGATGAGATTTAATCTCAGATAAACAGGGACTTTGAGATCTTCATGCGACTCCTCATACAAGTACACCACTTGGTTGAACAGGTTATTAATACGTCTAGCGGCAGTAAAGGTGATATAATTACACTAATTAGACACGTAGCTGAAGGCTAAAAATCTAATTTTTAACGCACAAATTATAGGATTAACTTGATTATTAAATAATAAGAGAAAAATTGTAACCTTTTATGAAACATTACAGCCAAATTCACGCGTTTATTTCGTTTTATAAACGACAGTCCAAACAATTAACCGTCAACTGTCAACCGTCAAATGCCCTAAAATTTTAACCGTCAACCGTCAACGCGAACTCCCCCACTGTGACCCTCCTCTAAGACTTGAAGGTTCAAAGTCTTTGCCGTCTTTCCGCTTCACACTAAGGATAAACTTGCAGATATATTCGATGTCTTCAAGATTTCCTTTTTTTTTTTCTTAGAAATTCAATGAGTAGCTTCACATCTCTCGTCGTTTTAGCTCTTGTATTTTTGTTTTTTTGCTCGATAATATGGTCGTCAATTGAAATATTCAAGTGTCGTGGATCCTTGAGTCATTGTTAAAAGTTCAATTATTGTACTTTTGGTACGAAAGTTTTCTCGCTATAGAGGTTTGCACGCAAGGAACCTGAAGTTATTGAATGAAATCAGTGGCGTGTTGTGACAAGTCTCTCCTGATTGGACGAAACGCTTTACGCTCGTGTGAGAAAGCCATTTCGCTGCTCTGATTGGCTATCAGAATGTTTTAAGCGGTATGTAAATAATAACAGTATTTCAACTTATAGAACTGTTTTTCTCTTGACTCAAAGCTTTGAACATGCAATATTGGAAATATAAAAGAAAGTATTTAAAATTTGATTAAATCTTCAATTTCCACACTAACAACTTATTGATTGAACAGTTGAACTAGATATGAAATTTGGCTTGCTCATTTCTGTAATGTAGGCAGTAACAAAAAAATTTATATTTTCTTATTTATTTTCTGTTAATCGTTAACTGTAACATGGTCAAAATTTAAACCGTTAGCCGTAGAAGCCATCACCCCATTGAGACCCTCCTTCTACTACAGTGAGCCCATAATTCTCAAATGTGACTTGTTTGGCTTTCACCGTGTAGCCTTGGAAAACGAAGTTTCCCCGAATTTCGATAAATTAGGTAATGTTGACATCATTTCTAAATTAAAAGGGAAGCAAGCTTGTCAAGCTTGCAATTATTTGTTATTTTTCGAAGACAAGGAATAACGTTCGCCATCATGAATTTTTTTCATTCAAATGATCGCTCGGTATTAGTGCCCTCCAATGGCAATTTTCTTGTCTGAGGAAAACAGGAAACATAAATGTGAAATCAGCGGTGAATACCGTTGCAAGTTTTCAGGAGAGTGCCTTCTGGATGCGCAGATCTCACAACGTAACTGTAGTCCAGTCCATTTCCCCCACCTCTATCTTCTTCCCAAAAGAAATATGTTAAACTGATAACTATGACTATTGTTTATTACTGAAAGTCAAGCTACCTCCTCTCTCTGATGTCATTTGCTTGTTGCCATATTTCAGTCATTCGATTAATACCTTCAAAAGTAAGACAAGTGATGTAGTTATTTTCAAGCAAATTACCGATCAATTCCGTCCATTTTTTTTAATGTATTATAACAGTTGCTATTTTTGTCTTCGATCATGCAAATCACACTCGCACGAAAATGAAAAGCTCATGAGTACAACGGGCCATTTTTCACGCATAGATAGCTTACTGTTTAAAGACAGAAGCTTTATTTGTACTCTCGATCTGATCGATCTCGTGATGCAAATCCAACCGTTCCAAAAAGGATGAACACTTAAGCCTGACGTTTCCGGTTAAACAGAGTAAAATGTTTCATTTTTCATCCTTACTTTTAAAAGTGTGACGTACCAAACCGAAATACAGTCACCTAGTTTTTTTTAGCATTTTTGGCTTCGATCATGCAAATCCCACCCGCTAGAAAGTGGAAAGTTCAAGGAGACAAGGAGTCGATTATCACGTACATATAGCTTACCGTTTAAAGAAAGAAACTTAGGTTGTACTGTGACCGATCTTGTGATGAAAATCAAATCTTTCAAAGAGGTCAACACTAAAGCCTGATGTTCCCTATTAAAAAAAGAATGACACTTTTCATTTTTCATGTTCAATTACACCAATAGTGATAAAAATTGTGACGTAAAAAACCGAAATACTGAGGACCTATTTAATGAGTGATAGGACCGGACGGGAACTAATATTTGGCACGGGGTCATAACCTACGGACCGAGCGCAGTGAAGTCCTTGCTTCATGAACGAGAGCCAAACCAAACTCACATCAGTAAGCATTTTATCATATAATCACTAGCTGTTCAAAATTTCAACCTAAATAGGACGCGATAGACGGGCATACGAACATTATGCAATTGAAACTTTTCGTTTTTATTTCGATTAGCCCAGAGAGGGGAAGGGAATAACCTCAAACACAAATGATCTGGATTCCCAAAAGAGAACAGAGAGCGGAAGTTCGGAAGGTTTAGAACAGTCCCGAGTTTAATTCGTTATTTTTGTTATTTCATTTCAGAGCATCAGCCATATAGTCAACATCTTGGTAAGTGCGATTGAAAATCTTTTCTTGTCACTCGGTTTTTATCAGCTTTAGTTATTTAATAGCTGTAGAGAGGTTAGGCACTAATGGCAAAGCCCAGTAACGGCTATTTCGATCCTTGTGTTTGCAATATGTAGTTATGTCTCATTTCGAACGTAGCCCTTCATTAAAGCGGCGCGCAGTTGATGGGGCGATTTAACAGCCACCAAAATGCAATAAATTCGTTCTACTGCGACTTTTTCAAATCTCTGTTTTTTTATACCGTATAATTTATCCTCATTAACTAAGGTTATTGAGTGTCGTTCAATTTGAGAAGTTGATGATCATAAAACTAAAATCAGACCTCTATTTATGCTGTGGACTGTCCCTCGCTGAGGGAAATCCGTGGTGCTTCATTACGTCGTTTTCTAGTGGCTACGATCTGCATTAGCTATTAACTTGACTTTGTTTCAGGAGAGTTCAACGAACGATTTAGAGATCGCGATAGATTAGAGTTGAATTTCCGTTTTCTACTTGTACACAAGCGTTTCATGGTCGAGATACTCTCCACTTAAATCTTTGGTTACCCGCGGTCGGTTCTACGGTACATATATATTCCTTAGGCCGTAATCTGTTTCTTTGTCTGTTAAAGTGCCAGTCTCGCATAAGAAGATAAGTCAT